TTTTTCTGTCTAAACATGACTAGGATTGCACCGGAAGCAGCTTTACACTGACAGCATTTCCTTGTTGGTTACCGCAAAACATACACTCATTCTGAAGACAAAGGGGTTGTTTTTATTAGAGTTTTGAGTTACTTAGTGCTGTACATTGACATTGGCTAACTTAAATCAGGTTCTATTTAACTGCTGCAATGATTTGGTGTATATTTGGTGCTTTGTTGTGAAGATCTGTTTAAAAACATCAGGTGTTTAACTGTGGACTTCAAGGCTTGTGTGGGAAAGAGAAGTACATGGTGTTTTGTATTACAAGGTTAGAATCTTGCATCTGCTTTACCTTTCAGTATCCCCCCATTCCTTCCAAGTGTTAAAGATTAAATAGCTTTATTAGTAATTTTACACCTCAGAATACATTTTCTTAAGAAGTGTCATTGAGGTGCCTTTCATTTACAGTGCAATCTTGCATATGTCTATTCAGAAGTAAGTCCCATTAAATACAACAGTTATACTCCCAGTGAGGTGTAAGATTGTAGTCTTAGGATGCAATCCTCTGCATATTAAGACTGAAAAAAGCCTTACAACTGATAGCATTTCCTTGTGTTAACTTGAAAGGGGAAGTATAGAAGGGCCTTGAAAAAGCCTCCAAAGTCATCCACTGCACAGCATTGTTGTTGACTGGATTGATGGTGAGGCCCTTCACTGCCTGGGAAAGGTTGCCAGTTCACCTCAGTCATGGTACCCAGAGCTAAAGTGATGTCTGCTGGAAAAGTAGTGACGATCCCTGAACATAATACAAAGAGCCAGAGTATCTACTGTTTCTTTGTGTTTTAAATTAAATCTTGCTCTTCAGATCAATTTTTGAGGGCAGCTTAAAACAAAATGGTAATTATGACATAGTAATCAGAACAGCAATAAATAAAGTTGCTGTAACCTTAAGAATTGGTGCCTGAGTTAGTTTGTGCTTGTCTCCTCCTCTCAGTTTCTTTTTCTGGCATGTGTTTTTTGATTGTAACCCTGAAAATATGTAATCTCTTGTTCTCAATTAGTTTGTCAGCTAAAACATTCTTAGTGAAGCTTATGAGAATGATAAAAATGCTTTCAATTAAGAGTACCATAAAACTTAGCAACATTAAAATCTTAGGAAGATAAAAAGGGCCGGGAGGGCATTCTGTAAGCAGGGCATTACAACTAAAAAGTTACCTTTTTATTTGGCAAGGACATGAGAACGGCATCTTATCAGAAAGTGTAAGTTGAGTATACAGTTAGAATTGGGTTGGAGTAAGTACTCCAGGTATGATTGTCATATGGAAGTCTGATCCTGGTTAGCTCTGTTGGTGCAAACAGTTGCTGCTGCAACTGATATTGCTTCTATATTCTGCTATACTCTGATGTTTTGCTGATACTATATGCTAAGGGTTTCTGGTTGCAATATGATAGTTGCTGAATAAATAATTTGATGAGTTACTATTTTGCTTTCTTAACCACTGGAAAATTGGTTTAAGTACCTTTTTAGGGTTTTGTGAAACAATTCAGATAACATTGAGGCAAGGTAAATAGTTTCTTATAGAACAGACTCTGCTTTGGAGCAAAATAGTGGTGCTTCTTTAAAGAGGAGTACATTCTGTAAAGCATACTACTTCTTGATCTAAGAATGATAAACTATTTCTAGGTTGTTAGGATTTGTAAATACTATCAGATAATGTTAATTTTAATCCTCTTTGTATGCAAGGTCTTATCTAACAAACATGTGGCTCCAGACCACTTGCTGCAAATTTGCAAGAGGATTGGCCCTGTTCTGGATAAGGAGATTCCACCCAGCATTCCGAGAGTGAACTCATTGCTAGGTGCAGGGAAGCAATCCTTGCTGCGCACAGCAAAAGGTAAATTTTGACTTTTGACTTCAGACTTGTCTTTTAGTCAGGGTTAAATGAGCTGAACATATACTTTAGCCTGTCATGTATATTTATTTTTTTATCTGTTTAGTATTTTCTTCCAATACATAACCAATTTTAAACTCACTCTTCCACAGACACATTGCCTTTCAGTATACTGGTATCTATTCTAGAGCAGTGGTCCTCAAACTTTTTCAATGGGGTTGACGGACGCGGGCTGGTGAGGTGGGGGTGCTTACGGGTGCGGGCCAGTGAGGCAGTGGTGGGCATGTGCTCGGTGGCAGCTTGCTCGCTTGGATATCTCCCTGCAAGTCCAAAAGCATCTCCAGGCAAGCAACCTGCTGCTTGCGCAGGCATGGGGAGTCCAAAACCTCTGAGGTGGGCCAGATAAATGGGAATGGCAGGCCGGATGCAGCCCATGGGCCTTAGTTTGAAGACCCATGTTCTAGAGCATTTAAAGAAAACATCATATGAACACTCACATTCTACATTCATAATGTGGCACCTCTAGGAAAAAACTCTCCCTTTTCCTCTCCCAATGCTTCACATAAATGCAACAGTAGTTCTGTTTGATGTGGAAGAAGTCTCAGGTAGAAATTTATATACTGAGCTGAGAAGACAGTGACATAAAGCTCTCATCTCTTGTATTTTTACTGAGTACCTCTGAGAACTAGGACTGTTTCTTAACCATGGTTAGGGGTTTGAGGAAGAAATTCATATTTGTATAGGCAAACCTTCCACACAGAAATTCTTGTTCTCAGCTGTGATTTAGTTACATGTTCACCAACATTAAGCATAGATGACCTTATTTTCTGGCATGTCCTTTACCAGTGTTTGAAGCCATTAATGAGGCAAAGAGCTGGTGGCAGGAGTATATAGTTTTGAGGGCTTGTTTCCAATTCCTTAATTACTTACAGCTATATCTGTATCAGCCTGTCAGCTCTCCATTCTTAAACATATTGTTCTGCTGGCTGAGGATGTAATGCATGGAACAGGATGTGTCACAGATCTCTTTTGTGCAAGGCTTATCCATTTTCCCATTTATGCAGTATGACTAGCTTAGCCTGCTATAATTCCTGTCTTGTCCCAATTGCTTTCCTTTCCTAGAATGATACATGAAATTTTGGATTGTAGCTATGTATCTTAGTCTTTGGAAGCACAGAACTTTTCAAAAGCAAGGAGTTTATAATTAGAATTTATAGCTTTTTAGAAGAGGAAGTCTTCAGGTTGAAAGAGAGAAAATATTTATAATCTGAAAAATAAGAAGAGGTGTGATACAGCATAAAATTAATATACAAGATCACCCAGTTGGCTGCAGTACGTGACACTATGCGAGAGACTTCTTAGAGTGACTGACTGGATCCCAGTGCTTGAAAGACTTCCAGTTCCAGTATAAAATCAGTGACAATACAATATGATGTAAAGTGCTATCACTATAGTGATTGACCTCCAAATGAAAACTCCCATAACTATTTTGAATACAAAACCATTTATTTAGTTTTTTTTAAATATAAATGTAGCATGCCTGTTATTAACTAGGCTCTTTATAAAAAAGTAACTAATTTACCATCAGCCTGAAGTCTTAAGTAAGAATCCATTGTTTATCTACCTTGATTTGTACCCTGCAGTATATTTTACATGCACAGGACTGCTCCTACAAAGCCTTATAAGTAATTATATGTCTAATAATCATGTCCCATAGATTGCAGAAACACAGTTTGGAAGGGCTCAGTCCTTGCTGCCCTTCACAGAGGAAGACCCCCTGAAATGCCTGTTAATTGTGCTACACTACCAAATCTAGGTAAGATTTTCATTTGTTAGCATACTGTGTTTTCATTGTTCCTCCAACTGGTTTCCTGTTTTGTTTTGCACTGCTACAGCTAGAATGATTAAACCACTAGCTATTATAATGATCTTAAATCAGTCTGATTACTTTTTTAAAAAAATGCATGCTCAATTCTGTTCCAGTGGAAGAAAATTATGCAAAACATTTGACCGGATGTACAAGATCCAGTTCTGCATTCCCAGGAAACATGTATCAGCATATAAAGATGCATAGACGAATTCTGGGTCATCTCTCTGCAGTTTACTGTGTGGCTTTTGATAGAACAGGCCACAGGATATTCACTGTGAGTGTATTAGTAAAATTGTTAATTCTGGTATTTTGTTGAATAGAGGGGTACCTTGGCTCACGAACTTAATCCGTTCCACTACTCTGGTTGCAACCTAAATTGGTCGTGAGCCAAGTCAAATTTCCTCATAAGGTTCAATGTAAATAACTGTAACTATTCTGTAACTATTTTTTTAAATCAGAAAAAATTGAACCAAAGTGACAAAGAACAACAAAGATTGCGGCCATCTCCCACCCAGCCCGAGCGCGATCATGGCTATCTCCCCCCACCCCGAGTACATGTGCGGTCACACTCGTGGAAGGAAAACGGGAGCGATCGTGATCATCACCTGATGCAGAGTTCACAACCTGAGACAAAATTTTTCTGAAATTTCTGTTTGCAACCCAATTTGGTTGTGAACTGAGATGTTTGTGAACTGAGGTACCACTGCATAAGGAAAAGTGAACTGCAGTAGCCTAGTATTACACCAAATATTGAGACTTGGCAATTGCAGATGTTCCGATTGTGCTTCAAGTAAAATAGGGTGGCAAATTTTGTGGTTTGCTTCTGGTAGTATATCAGAACAGTTAAGTGACTTAATAAATATAACAGGTCTTGTCACAGTGTCTGCAACACTTAAAGTACATTCCTGTGGCCACTCGACACTGTCTAGACAGCCATAGAAAATGTTGGAGTTCCAGCTCCAACCTTAGAAATATTTTCCAAGTTCGAAGCTAAAACTCTGACCTTAGAGCACCTGCCCTTGTGGCCAGCATGGTGGTTCTTTCAGAGAAGAGAGGAGTGAGGCTTCACCCAGTATAACTCATCCTAACAGTGCCTCAGCCAAAATCTGCTATCTGAATGGTCTGGAAGGTGAGAGAAGCGCTGGGGCAATCCTCGCCTCATGCTCCTTCCATACTCCATTGGGTGCCTGTAACCGTAACTTCAGAGGACCATAGGCAGCCACATTTGATTGGTGGACTTGCTGTGTTACGAAGTTTTGCCACTAGTTCTGGGTGGATCTAGAATCTGAAAAGAAATGCCTGTTAGGGTGGGAAACAGAAGTTTGCTTCAGAATTCAGGTTGTCCCATCCTTTTCCAGAACCATCACTCATTAGTATTAGAAGAATATTTAACATGGTATACGGGTTAAAGAACTGTTTCCTTTGATTCTGGTTCACTTGCTTTGGTTATTGATTTTGGTGTGTAGAAAATTGGTGTTTGTTTTTATGTCAATACTTTGGGAAGGTAGCAATTATGTTTCAGTTTTATGCCAGTAAAATGGATGAGAATCCTTTGTCTATGACTATAACTGATGAGAAAATGTTGCTCACATGGAAAAATACACCTGTTCTTGTAGAAAGTGGCTTTTGAATTCAATTATCAAAGTAGTTAAGTCAGATTTAGTGTAAAATTTTAATTTAATAATAGCTGTGTTTAGTGTAACAACTTGAGAATTATAATGTGGGAATTATCAGGAATGTAATGACAATTTTTCTATTTCTATCAAGTAGCAATATTTTTTGTTTATCTCATATACCAGCATAGCAAAGTTAATGAATTGTAAACTAATAGGAGCACAGTACTATGCCAAATATGCTGTTGTGTTTGCTTTCTCTCTTACTATGTCTTTATGTTTCGGGTAGACAGATTCATGTAAATGATAAAGCACCAGCTATATTGTAGATTGTTATCTTCTCCACTGTATTTTCTATTCATTAGATATTTATTTCCTTTTTTATGCAGGGGTCAGATGACTGTTTGGTAAAAATTTGGTCCACACACAATGGTCGGTTGCTTGCTACACTGAGAGGTCATTCAGCAGAGATCTCTGATATGGCTGTGAATTATGAAAACACAATGATTGCTGCTGGCAGTTGTGATAAAATTATCAGGGTTTGGTGTCTCAGAACATGTGCCCCAATTGCTGTTCTACAAGGACACACAGGATCGATTACGTCTCTGCAAGTAAGTTCTGCATTAGCTGATGTTCGTGTTTACATATCTAACAGATACATATACTAATGCATGTTTGAACTCTTTCTTTAAATGGCCTTATGGCCCATACCTTGGGTATGTTTGTGCATGCGTCATCTTCACGGAACATAAAGATACATCCAACTGTTAACTTTGAATATGTGCTAGAAGTATGTTTGTTTTTTCCACATAGATGCTTCTTCCTATTGGGCTACACTTCCCAACTCTGTGTATACCACTCTTGCTCACTGTAGTGCCCTCTAGAAGTTTTGGACTAGAACTCCCAGAATGCCTAACCATGGACCTTGTTGCTTGGGACAGATGGGAATTGAAGCTCAAAACATCTGGAGGGCAGCAGCTTGGAAAAAAATTGTGTATACCATGTCAGAGTTGACTTCTGCTTTTTATATTTTAACAATATATCATTGTTCCTAAAGTACAGCATTCTCTGGCTCTGTAGTACAAACACATCACAATTTGATGTGCAATGACTGACAATTAGAAGCTAATCTAATATTTTAAAATACACACTTTTGAATATTTTTATGTAAGGAACATATCAAATTTGGTTAAAATTAAAAACTAATGTTTAGACAGTGCATAAAATTCACTGTTTTGTCATCTGGTTGTTTTAAAATCTACATTGTTTTGTAGTTTAGCCCATTGGTCAGAGACTCCATGAGATACATGGCTTCAACAGGTGTAGATGGAACAGTTTGCTTCTGGCAATGGGATACCATTTCTATGAAATTCAAGTAAGCAACTATCTCCCTCTGCCCAAATACCTTTTTTTTCTGATGGAAATGAAATAAAATGACAAAGTGCTTTTGGCCAAGCATGTTTAATTCTACATTGTAACATGATGAGGGTGTTTAAGGATAGGCTGGACATGAACATGGCATGGTATGTCATGCGTGGAGCCAGCTGGAGCCGGGGGTCAGACTTGATGGCCCGGGAGGTCCCTTCTGACTCACCTTGTTTATATGTTTCTATGTAACACAGGAAAAGATGAACAAGGCTCTAACTAGTTTGTAATCATGTATTTTACTATTGCAATATGCAGCAAAAGAATATAATACAAATTGTACATTTGCAATATGCAAAACTCATTAGTATATTGGAAGTAGGGATTTTATATTTGTAAGATTTTTAAAATTAAGATTTTCATACAATGTATAGCATTGTTTATATATTCCAATCACTCTTGTTATTTTTAAAGTAACCGGCCACTGAAATTCACAGAAAAGCCTAGACCTGGAGTTCAAATGCTCTGTTCTTCCTTCAGTGTTGGTAAGTTGATGCAGTACTGAAACAGAGTGCCTTATGTTCAGTTGATGAACCTGTAAGATCTCTGTCTTCTGATGAAGCATATTTTTTTTTTCATGTTTCCTTCTTAGACATACTTGAACAGCTTTGAGGATTTATACTTTTTTGGCTTAGTCTCATTATTTTAAGTTGTGCTAACTACCTTATCAGCATTCAGCTTTGGGGACTTCTGTTCAAAGAATCTGTACTTGACTGTATAGCACAGTGATTCAGTTCAGTTGTTGTGTTCCTAGTCTTTAGTCCATGTGTAGGAATATTCCATGGACACAGTGTTTATTTCTCCTTCTCACAAATTTATGTTCCTCCTCAGTGTGATATTTGTAGAAATCTGATGTAGCACATAGTTGATCTGCAAGCTAATTAGTTCAGATTTGGATACTGGAGGAGGGAGCATGTGAGCCTTCAGCATGGTCTCAATTTCCAAATTGTGGGATGAAGATCAGGGAAATGCATCTGAATTGAACCAACATCCTCTTGCTAAATAGCAAAGTCACAGATTCCTTGTGGCAGAAGCCACTGTTACTGGATGATTGCAGAATACTTATCTCTTACCAGTGGATATACTAGGTAAAGCTGTTGGGAGTTGTGGGTCAAAACATCTGGAAGGCCAAGCATTTTCTGCTCTTGGTCTACAGAGATTGTGAATATGAACAGATTTAAGATTGATGCATTTTCCACGTTAAAAGGATCAAGTAACAGATGCAGCATGCCTTTTCATTTACTAAACACCAATGGTTTTGTTGTACATCTCTAAGACAACAAATTTAAATATCTGTTTATACATATAACATAAATATTCTACAAACTATGTGCATTTTTGTTCTAGAAATACTTGATTAGGTTCAAATTTAGTTATTTGAATTTAGATTCCATGAAATCCATGTGACAAGTTTGAATTCAGTTTTAGTCCCCATTGAAATTAGTGAGGCTTAAATGTACTTAGCTTGAATACAGTCTATTTTACAATCTGTCAACATTCTAAACTATATTAAAATTTCAGGTGGAATGTTCCTAGCAACCGGCAGTACTGACCATGTTATTAGAATGTATTATTTTGGTTCTGAAACACCTGAAAAAATTGCAGAGTTGGAGAGTCATGCTGTAAGTAATCTAATAAATTTAGAATCAGTTCACTTTGAAATAGGATTATAGCTTCAAATTTTAACATTTCACTGCTGTTACAAAATCTAGCATTTACAGCAATTCATATAATATGGGGTGGAATAAATTTTACTTCAAACAATTCTGTAAAGGTTAATACGATCCTTAAATGTTTATTCAGTAGTAACCTGTTATTGGTGAAACTTGCTTCAATATTCACAAGTATCGATTATGGTTACTTCAGAAATGTATAGAAAATCATTTGTTGCTTATTCAGTTTTGAGTGTAGCTGTTCATCACTGGGGTGATTTTTCAATCAAAAAAATGGAACTAAAGCTGTTTTCTATCTGTCTTGAGCTGGAAGTCAACTTTAGTTTCTCTTTGAAGTAGCTGAATTAGAATCACTACTCACAACAATTACAAAAGTCAAAATGCACCAGTTAATATAGCTCATTCGTGCAGTGTTGAGTTTTTCTTCCCTTCTTTCTGCCCTGATGCCTCCCTTTTCTTTGGCATAGGAGTGTCGTCTTAGTTATATCAACATATTAATGACTATTTGGAATATATTTAAGAAGTTTCAGTTGTGTGAGAAAACCTTAGTTATAAAGTTAACATAATTCTAAAAATCTTACTATTTCTTCTAAAATTGAATGCTTCGCAGAAACACACACTTCATAGGTATAACCTAACTGGATCTTTGCAATGTTACAAATGAAGCAATTTGGAGTAAAGCTTGTAACCAAGTGTGAATTACTGAGCAGGATAAATGCACTTTGTGGACTGTACTTCTTTAGCGTTATTCTACTATAAAGTGTAAAAGTTATGTTGTGAACAGTGTGATTTGTCCTTTCACTATTACATTTAGTACTGAGACTCTTCTCATTGAAATGTCTTGAGAAAAATGGGAAGAAAATTGCTGAGATGATCCACTGTTTGGCAGCTGTGAATAAGGCAAAAATCATTGCATGGGATTTTTAGGAAAGGGATCTGAACACAGCTGTCAAAACAATTTATGGTGCAGCAATAGTTGGAAGTATGTGTATAACTCCAAAGATCCCCATTTTAAAAAATGGACACTGTTGAGTTGGGGAAAGAACATAAAAGAACAACCAGAATGATTAGTGGTCTGGAGCACCAAACAGCTAAGAGGAGACATCATGGAGACATCTAAATTATGCAGGATGTGATGAAATGAATAGAGAGAATTCTTGCATTTTCTCATGCAATAGTAGAGCTGGGCTTATCCAATGAACACAAGAATAGTCAAGCAGAATCAGACCACGGATATAACAAGTCCAACATTCAGTCCATAAGTGGCCAACCATATTCCTCTTGGAAGCCCTAATCAGGACTTGAATGCCATACAAAGACACATTTTCTCTAATAATGAAAATGGAATATAGGTATAATAATTCATAATCATTAATAGGCTTATCCTGTTTTAATTTGTTTTATCTTCCATTAATGTATCTTATGCCATTTTAAAGCCATCCTAATTGGTGACGTTCACAACATCTTGTGGAACTAAACCTTACAGAGTTAAAACTACATTTTTTAACTATGTCCAATGTGAGGAAATACTTCCTTTTATGTCATTTGTCTCCCAACAGTCAGCTCCATGGGTTAACCCTAGGTTCCAGCATTTTGAGACATGGAGGAAAAATCTATCTGTTCACTTGTTTCACACTGTGCATAATTCTGTATACCTTTGCCATATCTTCCTGAGGAGTGTAACTTTCTTGATAACATAGTTGTTCCAACACCTTGATCTATTTTTGGTTGCCCTTTTCTATACCTTTAAAAGTGACTGTAGATTATGGATAGATAAAAGAGATTACTTCATACAATGTATGATTAATTTAAGAATGTGATGGTTTTAAAGGGTGGTGGACAAAATCATGAATATGTGTCTGCTGGTGGCTACTTGTTTTGATGGCTATATGGAACATTAAAGTTCTAAGCCAATATGCCAGTGAGTACCAGTTGCTTGGTAACAACTGTGGGGGAGAGAGCTATTGCCCTGGTTGTGTACTTCCCAGGTGCACTGTGGAAGGTGGTGCCCAGGAAGCTGAACTAACCAGTCATTTGTTTTTATCCAGTTAAACTGGTCCTATATCCATAACTCTCATTCCCTGAAGAAAAATCAGACCCTTACTATGTAAAAATGATCACAGTAGTCTTTAGAATGAAAATTGCTTGCCTGTGCAAAATATTTCGATCACCTAGGTGGCATTGGCTGCATTTATTTTAATGTCTCATTGTCTCTTACAGGATAAAGTTGACAGCATTCAGTTTTCGAATGGTGATGATAGGTATGTTTATAAATCTAAGTGTAAAAAAACTGCACCAATGAGGTTGAAGAAAATCTGGCATTACTGTAATCTATGGGGGAAAGCATTCTTTTATTGAATATTCAGATATTGAACAATGTACTAAAATGTTACTCCACCTTGTCTTTACTTATGGAAAGACTTTTGACCATCTAGATATTGCCAAAATTCCAGTTCCCTTCACAAGAGTCAAGGCTCCTCTTTCCTTTTGTAGCAAGGATGAATGTTTGCAATATATTGTTGGAGAATGCTATTCTTCAAGGTTTTTTAATAGCCTAATGACCAGCTTTTCCTTAACAACTGTCAAATAGTTTTAATCATTGATAATAGGCCATTTTTCCTTGTAACAGAACTGCTTCACAGACTAAGGAGAATAGCTTAACTTCTGTTGACACAAGATGAATTTCCTGTATGTGTTTCCTTCAGTGTAAGATGTGGTATGTGTGTGCAGAAGAAGGCATAGATCAGGGTCCAGTAAAGCACTAGAAATTCAATTCAGAGATGCATTGTGTGGTCTTTATTGAATAATTGAATCATTTGTGGTTTGTGGGGGAAAGACCTTAATGGAGGCATGATGGTTCTATAGGCATAAATATGAATTTGTATCAGAAGCACACCGGCTACCTTCAACAAAAAGTAGTTGTTTGAGCACTTGATTAGAAAGCACTGTACTATAACTATATGTTTGTTTTAAGATGGTGAAACCTAAGTACAAACAGTTAAAGTGGAGGGGGGATAAAAAAAGGGGAGTATAAGCCTGGTTATTTATTAATGCTATTACAATGTGCTACATATGGCAAGATATTTCAGAAACGGAAACCATCACCCTCTGCAAAAATGTTTGAACCAGATGCTACTCAACAATAACATCCTTATAGAAGCCCTATTGGCTGCAAACCTCTAGTCTGGAGGGTGGTGGAAAGCCTTGAACTCACTAGCGTTGAAGATGGTGAATTCTTGCATCACAAAATGGATTCCTCCCCATGCTCATAGGAAATGCTTCAGTATGGTTGGGGGTCAGCCTTTGGAGTAAAGCAGAGCAAACTTTTGACCCTCCAGACTGCAGCTCCCATTTGTTCTAGCTAACATAACCATCCTGGATGAAAACAGTTGCAGTCCAGCATCTGAAGGGCCACTAGATGCCTATTCCTTCTTTGGAAGATAATGTGTTCCAGTCATACTGAAGTTTAAATGTACAATGTGTTTATAGAAAATATTGAAAGATGCTATTTTAAATTTGAATGCAATGCTTGTCTTTTGTATATCACATAGTTTTTTTAACTTATACCAAGGTTCATAAGTGGCAGCAGAGATGGAACAGCCCGAATCTGGCGATTCCAGCAAGCTGAGTGGAAGAGCATTTTGTTGGATATGGCTGACAAATTACCTAGGTAGGTATAGTGTAGTTGACTTGTGCAGTAAGCAAGGAAGGAACTATGAAACTTGCTGCACTTTGTAATCTAGAGGGACCTTCTGGGCACTGTGGTCCAATGAAAAGCCTTCAGTTTGAAGTTTCTGCATAGTTGTGTGAAAATGTGAAGCATGCTTTCAGTCGAAACCAGCCATGATCTTGTATGTTCAGTTGCTTCTAGAAACATGTTTGTTTTAGCCTTTTTCATTTCTGTAACAAAATCCTGAATATAGTCTTAAGCTTGTATTTTAAGAGGCTTAAATTTAAATGTTTTCTTGAGATAGCTGTAATAAATGTAATAACTGTAAATGTAATTTTTGTTTAATGTCTAGATTAGCTGTTCTTAGCACTTTTTATGCGTCATACATGTGGGTTCTGTGTGAATGACGAGCCACATTCAGGAAACTTCAATAGCTAAGGAATTTTTGCCCTCACCTACACCATCCCACAGCTGAAAAACCAGGCAGGTTTCTGCTTATTTTCTCACTTATCTTTTGTGCCTGCCTCTCCCCACCCCCATGCTTGTGGCAGCCTCACTGGAAACATCTCTTCAGTAAGCAAATATCTGCAAACTGCTGAGTTTTATTTTTTCTTCTGTCATTATTTTAGTCTTTTATCTAGGATGATTTTGTGAGCTTAACAGACCTACAGGCTACTTTCTACAAGTCCATCCACAATGGGATATTATCATTATTACATTGCATTTATATCCCACTTTTTTCCCTTTCACCCGTGGATGGCTGTTTTTTCTGACTCTTGTGTCCTTCTCCAACACTGTGCCTGTGCACATTGCTAGGCATTTATGAAACAGGCTAGATGCAGTCAGTCTGACAGATTTTGCTGAGTTGTGGATTTCATCTGACCTGTTGGAGGGGGTCTTGGGTCAATTTTCAGATAAGGTCCTTCCTGTGCATGCAATAATTTGGACTGGAAACATAACCCACCTTTAGGATGAAGCATCTGATGTTTGACATGGTCCGTAGTGAGACCTCTGCTCTGGTGATGATCATGCTGCTTCTGCCACTCTTCCAGATTATCCATTTGTTCTGCAAAACCCATAACTGAGCTTCTCACTCCTAAGAGGCTCCAGATGTCAGTTTTCTACCTAATGTGGTGGTGTTTTTGATCACATTCAGGGTGTGATTCTTCTTGTGATTCTCTTACCCCACTGAAGTCAGCACTTTACATGCTTGACATTTGGTGCAGCATTTTTATAAATTGCAAACAGATCCTTACAGGCAATCTGTGTTTGTTATTGTGGCAATAGCAGAGATCTTACTCCTCCATTTAATGTTTTGCCTTATGGATCATCCATATAATATGGCTCACATATGAGCTGACTGATTTTGAACTAAGTGCCCTAGTATAAGCTCCTTTTACTTGTGCAATAGCTGTTCTGGAACTTTGTAGAACTACAGCCTGGTTGAACCTCTGATGTTCAACCAGTGCTACTAGATAGATGTACTGGCCATTGCTGTTGCTTGTTCAAATGTGTTTTTGTTGATTATGTTGCAACAGACACTTGACTTGGCCACTGGTAAGTTGCTGCTCTTCCATGTGTGGATGCACAAAGACCACAAACGCTGGCAGGTTACTTATGTATACCAGTGGTTATCAGTGGTTATCATACTTATGTATACCACTGGTTATGTATACCAGTGGTTATCTGTGCATTTCCAGCACCTACACACTCACTACTTCAGCTTGATAATGAGGGTTTCTCTTGAACCTTGATGTTCATTGTTGATGCCCTATTGACATCAAAGTTATTTGTATTACATTATGTTTTAATATGGTTCTTACTGTTGTACAACATTCTGAGAACTTATTTGGCTGAATGAATGTTTTAAATAAATAAATAAAGCCATAAATAAATAAATACTTAAAAAATAAAATAAATCTGAAGCTGCAGTGAATTAGTCTCAAGGAACTGAGGAAGTAAGTGGTAACCCACTAGGGATCTGCACACTCGGATAGTGTGGAAGAACTCTAGCTATTCTTCAGCTATAAAAGTTTCCCTGGTGGGGCTTTGTGTAGGTACAGAGCCCATATATGTGAATGTATGCAATTACAGCTAAACAAGCTGTCTTCCTTAATTTCACTTTGTTGTCAGACTTACTATACTTAAAACAAAATTTTAAACTATTAAACCGGTTCAATTTATTTGGTATAGTGGTTTGTGTTCAGAAGAGGATAAATTTATGAAGCCCAAAGTGACCATGATAGCCTGGAGTCAAAATGATAACTTGGTGGCTACTGCTGTGAACAATCATCTACTCAAAGTGTGGAATTCTTACACTGGACAGCTGCTTCATGATCTCACGGTACTCAGTGATTGCTGTTTTCTGAAATGTTTTCTTCAGAAATGGTATTTTATATAGAAATTGGTAGGATATTTTATCATTTAATATCATACCTTAGTATTCTGATATTGTAGTCACTAAAATTAGCATTTCAGCTACATTCTTAACTAATTTATTTGCTTCTGTTCAAAAAGGGGCATGTGGATGAAGTGTTCGTTTTGGAGCCCCACCCATTTGATTCCAGAATTATGTTGTCTGCAGGCCATGATGGCAATATCTTTATCTGGGATATAACAAAAGGCATTCAAATAAAACATTATTTTAACATAGTAAGTATTCATCTTAAATGATTTTTTCAGCAATATGTATAATCCTTTTTTCTTATGTGTCCAACATTTATCCACTTGTTTGTACAATTGCTACCATACAAAAGCTTCCTGACTTATTTGTTCTCCATAAAGCAGTGAATTTTAAAAGGACTAGCTTCATTTAAGCACTTGCCTTTTATAATTTGCTACGAAAAGCTTCTTAAATATCTAGAATATTTATTTATTTCTTAAATATCTGGTCCTCCAAATAGTGTAACATTTTCTAGCGGTTTTAGTATAGGCATGTCACAGTATAGAATGGCCTTAATATAAAGGATTGAGAATACTTAGGAATATAATGAGTTGTTAAGAATGTTATTAAGAAATGAGACACATTTTTTTAAATCAGGCGAGAGTAGCTGTTGAGAGCAGCATTCTGGTAGGACTAATCTTGCAGAGGGTGTGAGGTGCGTGCTAGCAGTGATGAGGCCTGAAGTGAAGGTGGATGGGATCTTCCTCTTTTCCTTTTCTCTCTTCCACTCTAGTGGATTTCTGGTTGCAAGGGACTTCTGAAATTAGGCTGAGGATTGCATTAAACTAAGCCTTGGGTCACAAGTCTGCCCACAACCACATTAATGGAAAATGGGTCAGTTGGGAACAGGCTCTGGCTCAGTGACAGAACACATGATTTGCATGCAAAAAGCCCCCATTAGTCACTGGTATCTATAGGTAGAGCTGACAAAGAATCCAGTGAGTGCCTCTAAGTATAACTAATTCTGAGCTAGATAGACTAATTGTCTGGTTCGGTATACAGCAGCTTCCTGTCTTCCTTTATAAATTGTCAGAATACTTTATACCTCTTTTTGTTTTAATTTAGATTGAAGGACAAGGTCATGGTGCTGTCTTTGATTGCAAATTTTCATCAGATGGACAACACTTTGCTTGTACAGATTCTCATGGACATCTTTTGATATTTGGCTTTGGTTGTAGCAAACATTATGAAAAGGTAAGTCAGTTTAACAACAGTTTTTTCCAGTCAGCATCATCAGTATTATTATTTCTATATGCTCAATAGCTGAAGTGTTCTGAGCAGTGTACAACGGTTGATAAGATAAATTCAGATGCAATATAAAATGGCATAATAAGATGCCCCTAGAAATTTAAACCAAATGTTAACAGTTTAAGCAGCTAAGACAAATTCATACCACTAGGCCTGCCAAAAACAAGTAACAGCAACCCACCCATGTTCTCTTTTGAGAAGTCAAATGCATCAGTGTAGTGGGCAGTTTTACTCTGGTGTCAGATTTGGCACCAGGTGGACCTTGGTGGGGAGATCATTCCATAACTTTGGGGATAGCACACAGAGGGCCCTCCCCAATGTCACCAACTGAGCCTCCCTTGGAGGTGGCATCTGGAGAAAGCTGTTCTGAATTTCATAAACTACAAATAACGTCCATGAATATATTTCATACTAAATTTATCCTGAGCTTTTCTTTTGTGCCATGCATTTGATGTACACTTTCAGGTTCCAGACGTAGTTTGGATATTATTCATTTTCTGGAATGTTGACCGACTTGAGCTTTTTCTTCTGCTTTCACCCTTCATACTTGACAAGAAGACTGGGCTGGCTTATCTGGTTTTGTTAAATCGGTTTCCTATGATGTCTAAATTTGAAAATTCTGCTTTAAATGGTGCCTACAAGCCTGGTTTGCAAAATGGGATCAAACTACGGCTGTTTTCTTAATTAGTTTCATTGTGAATTAAATCATAATAAAAACAAGGAAACTTAAAGAAAATTACAGTGGTATTACTTAAAAACTGAATAGATCTGTTACAATTGATACATATAACGTGTGTATGGGTATCGCCAAAACATATGCATAAGAGAAACATTAGCTATATTACCCCTCCCTTAGTTATCTGGTTTAGATAAGCCCTTGTTGAAAAGATGTGGTGTCTGCCGTACATGGAAGATAGATCCATTGACCCTTCTGTGAAGGATTCCAATGCAGTAATCCATTGATTGGGTAAAGTAGGACTATCCAATTCACTGTTCCTGAGTAAGCCCCTATATAACAGTGGTGGCGAACCTATGATGCGCTTGCCATAGCAGGCATGCAGAGCCCTCTTGACACGCGAGCCAAGTCCATGCCAGCATCACCCCAGCAGTCAAGCATCGGGTAACAGTGCACATAGTGGCCATGCGCATGTTCAGAAAGGAGTAGCGGCGCCAGGCAATGACTTCACGAGCCGTGGCTCATTAGCTGCAACTTGTCCAAGCTTTCATGTGGCTGATCAGTGTGCTGCCAAGGAGATTTGCTTGGACTGGCTGTGAGTTGTTTTTTCTAAACTAAAACCGCAGTTTTCAGGTTTCATTGTAGTGTTGGCACTTTGCGATAAATAAGTGGGTTTTGGGTTGCAGTTTGAGCACTCAGCCTCTAAAAGGTTCACCATCACTGCTATATAATGTTTAGTTACTGATAATACGTATTTATAAACCTGGGTTGTGGGTCAATATATATGGTTATCCTCAGGGCTTTTTTTTTGTCATCGAACGCACCAGAACAGTGTTCTGGCACCTTTTTTTTACAATGAATTTTACGAAGTGATTTTGAATCATAACAGATCAGCAGCAAACATCATTAACATAGTGCCTGCAGGCTGCTTTTGTGTCTGCTATCTGCTATCTGATAGTGAGATAGTGAGGGCGCTGCTCTCCTCTCGGCTTGGGACGCTCCGCTGTGTGTGGGGTCATGCGCTTGGTGCTGGCGACGTGAGTTCTGGCACCTTTTTTTTTTTTTTTTACAAAAAAAGCACTGGTTATCCTTAAAAATTAATTCTAATGAAGAAGACTCTGAAGCTTCAAAAACAGCAACTAGATTCTAGGAAATGTTTCAGTTGCAGATACTGCCATTCAGCTGTAGTTAAGAAATCATATTTAGCAAAGAAAGCAGAAAATGGCAAAAAGATTAAGACAGATAAGCTGTCTTAAGTCTACCTAACTTTTTCTTACTAACTTTTATTCTGGATATTGATGCTGTAACTGTGAGAGGTACCCTAACTGTTTCAGTATGTTGAGAGACCAGTTTATGAATGGTTATTTACCACATGAAGAAGTCTCAGTCTTGGCATGAAAAGAGTGTTCTAGTTCCTTAGTTCTTCAAGTTCCAATAAACCAGTTTGTATTATCTCTATGGTGGCTGGTTTATTTGAGGGTTAAATTGCAGTGATCAAGTGAAGTAAGTCAGTGTGTTAGAGCAGCAGCTGAAGTTTTAGTTGTGATCAATAGGATGGGTTAAAATTTAATTGGAAAGGTTGGTTCTGAGGAGTATTTTTTGAAGTCACTTTTGATGTGAATGTAATACTAAATAAGGTTTATTTTACCATCCTCAAAGGTAAGCTTTTTTCCTTTTTAAGTGTTTGGTTGTATTAAATTTATAACTTTCAATAAACTAGTAAAAGCTTTTGTATAAAAGCTTGGTAAGATACGTATTTAAAATACTGTATCTTTTTAACATAGGAAAGAACTTAACTATTCTTAATGATGTGTTACTATACTAGGACTGTTCCTTGTTTAAAATGGAATATTACTCAGTATTGGGCCCACTGTTGTCAAAAATTAATTGAACGCATGCATTGTAATAAAACATATTGAACCCACATTAGTCCTACATGTTCAGTCTGGATTTGGCAAGGTCATACAAAATGGTCACTCTGAATCTCGCAGATTTTCAGTAGGGAATTCTGTTAGTGGCTGAAATATTTTTGAATATTTGAAATATGGGCAATGAAAATGGAATAAAGGAAGAAGTGGGCCTCTAGCAGATGCTAGAAAGCAGTAGCTTGGAAAACATACCTTTGAGCTGTTTTGCTGGAATGGAATAAAACATATGAAGATTCTTTGTCCTGAAGAAGACTTAGAGTAAATACGTTGCATATTCCTCACAGAGCAAATTATAGCTTTCTAGCACCAGGTCTACTCTTTCCTTCATTCTTCTGAAATTGAACTTACTGTTAATGTGTAAGGTCTTTTTTTCTCTCCTTCGGAGTTGATTATATGTAAGCTTAATTTCTTTCTAGATTCCTGATCAGATGTTCTTCCATACTGACTACCGACCACTGATTCGCGATTCTAACAATTATGTCCTAGATGAGCAAACTCAACAGGCTCCTCACCTTATGCCCCCACCATTCCTGGTAGATGTGGATGGGAACCCTCACCCAACAAAATACCAGCGGTTGGTACCAGGGAGAGAGAATTGTGCAGATGAGCATCTGATACCTCAACTGGGATATGTAGCAACAAGTACGAATAATGGCAGTTTTCAGCCTCTAGTTCTAAATCTCACTTCAGTATCAGAACATATTATAAAGAAATAGGTGTAAATCTATAATTCAGCTTTCAAGTAGCTGTACTGTTATTTATGCACTTAGATTATGCAGTTTTAGTTATTTTGTTCAACACAGTTTGGTTCTGTAGAGCTTGCTGAGTTCTCAGCATTCAGTTCCTGAATACTGAGAACTTGTAGAAATTTGTTTAACTCAAATTTGTTTAACTTTGTTAGGCAAATAGTTGGAAGCTGAGCCGGTTACCCACCCAATATTTTTCCAGTTAATTTATTTACAATGTGTTTTTTCCCAAGTTTTGAGGTAGGTACCAATTGAGCCTCAAGTCATCAAAAATTAAAAATGTAGTTTGAAGATTACATTTAACTCCAGCTATTTTCTTGTAGGTTTCTCTCTTTAAATTGTTAACCTAACCTCTAAAGTGCTTTTTGAACTCAGAAATTTAAAGAAAGACTAAAGGGAAAAATTAGGTACATTCATCTCTCCAGATTTTTGTTATAGCTTCTAATAGCCTCAATTTCTCATTCGTACAATGAAATATTGACTCACCTTTCATGGTGGTTGGGAGGGCAAATGAAAATGATTGTAAATTACTTTGTATACTAGGAAAATAATTTTATAGATTAGGCTTCCACCTATCCAAAGCCATGCTGACAAGAGTCAGGTAGGGTTGGGAAGAATGATGGAGAATTTTTTTCCTCCATTCCTCCTTAAAAACAGACAGACAGCTGTAAAAGTTCCTGGGACCATATAAATGGCTAAACGGCTTGGGAACCTGTGAGGGGAAGCTATACAATCCTGAAGATCTGAGTTTCTCCTCTTTCCTCTGTTATCTGCTCACTGGAATGCCCCCTTTTCAACTTGACAAAGTTATCCAAGCTTGCTTTTCCCACTTTGAAAAGCAACTGCCATGCTGCTTTTCATGGCATCTGTGAGGAAAGGGGGATCTTCGATTGCCCCTTCCAAGGTTAATAGGGAGAGTCTGTGGGCTCAGAAGGTGGAATCTGAAATGTCCTATGGTTCTGTATATTCTTTCCCAGAGACCATTGGATTGATCTTATAGTATAAGTATGAGTTGAAATGATAATAGGATCAAAAGTTTTAACAGTTGTACTTCATTCTAATATGGTTAAACACGTATTACCTTTTGCTTTTAAATGTTGCAAGTTGATGGAGAGGTTGTGGAGCAAGTAATCGGTCAACAGACTGCTGATCAAGATGAACAAGGACAGGAACCCAGCATACTTGATGGCATGATTAGGCAGCTACAACAAGAGCAAGACCAAAGAACTGGTACAGATCAAGACATTCTATCACCTGGACCACAAAACATTGAAGGAACACCTAGAAGAGGTCAGTGCTTACTTTGAACACTAGAGGGAAAATGAAAGTGTCTACTGTTTATTAGTACCTATCTTTAATTTGGGCACAGTATGCATACTGATGTGCCTTACTGAGGTCTTGGTGCCTCTTTATTTATCTAAAAACCAAATGTACAATTTACTCTCCCACAAAACAGCTCACATTTGTAGAAACAACCTGATCCAGTCTGTAAATATAATTCTTAAATCCAGTCAGAAAAGCTAGCATATACTGCAGATGAATTTAGTGCATTCTGTTACAGTTAAAACTGTTTCTTCATGCTGCTCAGAAAGGGATCAGCTGAATTCTTTATTATTAATTCCTTTCTAACATTGCCATAAGGTTTATTATATTTATATATATTATATGTTTGCACTGCCCATCAGCCCAAAGGCTCAGTGGGTGGTTTACAAAATCAAAATACAATTATAAATATAGCACATAATAAAATCATTATAACAACACAATATTCTATACTAGAGTATTATAGCCACTACGGCTCAATCAAACTAAAACTGAGTTGAATATAAATATAAACAATGGGAATAAAAATTTAATTATTAGAATACTGGAAAAATAAAACAAAATAAAATTGTTTTCACCTGGCACCAAAAGAAACAAAGGGTGTCAGGCACACCTCTTACAGAGATGATTCCACAGGTGGGCAATATAGGAAGCTGGATACTTTTTATGGCTTTTGGGTCTAGAGCGTTCCCTAAGCCACCTAGAATGGTGCCTTAAATATTCTTGTTTGTTTCTGGTGACTCTGGAGTACACTCTTTCTCTCAAAGTGGGAGAAAGAAGTTTTGTTTTGTGATCTTATTTTTCCTTTGTTACATTCATTTCTAGTATTCTTGTTTGGTACTGAGCTAGTTCTATACTGGATTCTTGCTCATAAACAGTTGTAATTAGGTTTAGTATTTTTAATTTATCATTTCATTTTTAACTGGTTTTTTTTTTGCCTTGTGTGGTTTTGTGATTTTTTTTGTCTAGTTTTAAACATTCTCCACTAATTTTATGTGGATTAATTTGCATCTGGATTTTATACACTATATCACAGAAGTGAGTACACCCCTCACATTTAGTAAATATTTTATTATATCTTTTCATGTGACAACCCTGAAGAAATGACACTTTGCTACAATGTAATGTAGTGAGTATACAGCTTGTATAACAGCGTAAATTTGCTGTCCCCTCAAAATAACTCAACACACAGCCATCAATGTCTAAACCACTGGCAACAAAAGTGAGTACACCCCTAAGTGAAACTGTCCAAATTGGGCATTATTAGCCATTTCCCCTCCCCGGTGTCATGTGACTCATTAGTGTAACAAAGTCTCAGGTGTGAATGGGGAGCAGGTGTGTTAAATTTGGTGTTATCGCTCTCACTCTCTTATACTGGTCACTGGAAGTTCAACATGGCACCTCATGGCAAAGAACTCTCTGAGGATCTGAAAAAAAGAATTGTTGCTCTCCATAAAGATGGCCTAGGCTATAAGAACATTTCCAAGACAATGAAACTGAGCTGCAGCACAGTGGCCAAGACCATACAGCAGTTTAACAGGACAGGTTCCACTCAGAACAGGCCTCGCCATGGTTGACCAAAGAAGTTGAGTGCACGTGCTCAGCATCATATCGAGGTTGGCTTTGGGAAATAGATGTATGAGTGCTGCCAACATTGCTGCAGAGGTTGAAGGGGTGGTGGGTCAGTCTGTCAGTGCTCAGACCATACGCCGCACACTGCATCAAATTGGTCTGCAGGGCTGTCAACCCAGAAGGAAGCCTCTTCTAAAGATGATACACAAGAAAGCCCACAAACAGTTTGCTGAAGACAAGCAGACTAAGGACATGGATTAGTGGAACCATGTCCTGTGGTCTGAGGAGACCAAGATAAACTTATTTGGTTCAGATGGTGTCAAGTGTGTGTGGCAACAACCAGGTGAGGAGTACAAAGACAAGTGTGTCTTGCCTACAGTCAAGCATGGTGGTGGGAGTGTCATGGTCTGGGGCTGCATGAGTACTGCCAGCACTGGGGAGCTACAGTTCATTGAGGGGAACCATGAATGCCAACATGTACTGTGACTTACTGAAGCAGAGCATGATCCCCTCCCTTCAGAGACTGGGCCCCAAGGCAGTATTCCAACATAATAACAACCCCAAACACACCTCCAAGACGACCACTGCCTTGCTAAAGAAGCTGAGGGTAAAGGTGATGGACTGGCCAAGCATGTCTCCAGACCTAAACCCTATTGAGCATCTGTGGGGCATCCTGAAACGGAAGGTGGAGAAGCGTAAGGTCTCTAACATCCACCAGCTCCGTGATGGAGGAGTGGAAGAGGACTCCAGTGGCAACCTGTGAAGCTCTGGTGAACTCCATGCCCAAGAGGGTTAAGGCAGTGCTGGAAAGTAATGGTGGCCACACAAAATATTGACACTTTGGGCCCAATTTGCACAGTTTCATTTAGGGGTGTACTCACTTTTGTTGCCAGCAGTTTAGACATTGATGGCTGTGTGTTATTTTGAGGGGACAGCAAATTTACACTGTTATACAAGCTGTGTACTCACTATTTTACATTGTAGCAAAGTGTCATTTCTTCAGGGTTGTCACATGAAAAGATAAAATATTTACAAAATATGGGGTGTACTCACTTCTGTGATATACTGTATATTGGATTTATTTAAAAAAATATTTTCATCTGAGAACATATTGATCTCTTATGTGCCAGAAGTGTATGCCGGACTTGAATCTACATCTCTGATTAGGTACTTCTATTTGCTAAGTTTCAAGAATGAGTTGTGTGACTGCTGTACAAAATTTTGAAGACAGATGAAACCTGATCCATTACATTGCTTGTGTGTGGTAATTGTTGAAAAGTCGTGCAGAGGGTGACAAGTCACCCAAAATGCTAGTTAGCCTTTCTTACTAAATAAGTTATTTCATAAAAGATGGAAGAGTTTAGTATAATATGGAAGATGCTAAAGCTGTCTGCTTCTACAGTGTTGCCTCACTTCTTCATGACTGCCTTTTTTAAACAAAGATTTCCGAAGGCCAAGTCTAGATATCCAGTCGCCTCCTAATATTGGCTTGCGGCGTAGTGGTCAAGTGGAAGGTGTGCGTCAGATGCATCAGAATGCTCCAAGGAGTCAGATTGCCACAGAGAGAGATCTACAAGCTTGGAGACGGAGAGTAGTTGTTCCAGAACTAGCATCTGGCATTTTCAGGTATGTAGAAACTAGTTATATATTCATTCATATGCCTCATTTTAGGTGTGGGCCTGCAGGCAGGGAGTATGTGTTGAGTGTATGCATGCATATGCACACATGCTTTTTAAACTTCAGATTTTACTGTTTTTTGACTTCTTACACTTCCTTCCCAAAAGATTACTGAATCACTGCAAATTATAGTTGCTAAACTATTTGTTGCAAGTTTATTTTCCTTTTACCCTGTCACCAGAATTGAGCCCTCATCTTACCTTTCATCCGTGCCATTAATTCTAGATTTACAGGAGCCATAACACTGTGGTTTACACTTATTTTATTTTATTTTAATTCTTTTTTAAATAGGTAAAGTGCTCTTAAGAAAGAGTTGCATTAGTTGAAGCACAACTTGAAACTTGCCGTTTTGTGTAGGTGACTGGAGTATACTGTAATTGCTTCCACATAGCTGCTTTTGTCACAATTGTGAGTCTGACAGCTTTTCAAATTACCTTTTTTTAGAAATCAGAAGGTGTATAGGATTGCAAAAGGAGAAGAAGAGAAATGGTTGTATAAGACTGAGCTAAAAAGGAAAATGTTTCAGGCTTCAGAAAAGGTAGGAAACATCTGTAAAAATTATATGTATTGAGCTCTTACAAATAACATAGAGAATACAGAACAACATGAGTATGCAGGGCTGAAATTCAAAAAAGCTATGTAAGAACTGTGTGCACAGCTTATAGAATCTAGAAGTTGTGACAGTGGGAAAAAATAGGGCCACATGGTTTTCCTTGGTTGCTTTGTGAATGCTTGCTTAAACCATTACCAAAAATAGAAGTCTTGTGTGGAAAAGTGTGTATATTTAGAACAGTTGAAGTCTACCATGAAAACGCAAGCACTTGGGTCACAGGCAGTGGTTTAGTGATCAGTGTTGTGTATTGGACTGGAGAAGCAGCTGGGAAGCAACACAGATAATGCCTTTTCCTGCCAATTATTTGGATTGATTGTTACATTTTGTTTCATTAGCTCAATCTTGCAAAAAAGCTGAAACCCACCAAAGAAGGGTTGGGGCAGAATCCAACAATGAGTAACTGCTCCCCCTTGATTTCTTTCTACAAGTGGTGGGTCCCAGCCGTTCTGTTGTTCAAATATGACTCATTGCTTATGTAAGAGAGATTTTGCACTTCTTAGATAAAGCTCCAAAATGAACAGAAATGCTTGTTTCTGAACAGAGGAATGTGAGCAGAGCTCCCTCTGATGACCTGCCTCCTTCTGGAAACAAGAATTTCTGCTTGGTTTGGGATGCTCCAGAAGTGCTAAATCTCCAATATGCAAGGAGAGGGAGCCAAATGCAACAAAATTGGTGGAGTGAAAGAGAATCATAAACACCCTGTTGGGTTTTCTCCTTGCTTTAGAATTTGAAGTATTTAATGTCTTCATGTTCTAACAGAATATATGCCAATAATTCAGTAATGCATATTTCTGTCCCTAACCTGAGCTTTCTTTAATCCAGAGTGATTCTGAAGAGTCACTGATGCAATCCAAAAGAAGGCTTCATAGACGTAAATATGCAACATATAGAACACGGAATAATATTCAACAATCAGATTCTTCTAGTGAAAATGTAGATGACTCTTTTCATCTCATAGAACAGGTAAACACTTCCATTTCACTTAAATAATTGGTGCTACCAGAAATTCTGGCTTGTTTTTGTTTTTTGGAAAAATCTTGGTTGCCCTGCCAAGGAAATTGGATACTATTAAGCTGTTTCTTACTGAAGATGAAACTCAAATACTTTGGCCACCTAATGAGAAGGAAGGACTCACTGGAGAAGAGCCTAATGCTGGGAACAATTGACGCAAAGAAGAAGTGGGTGGCAGAGAATGAGGTGGCTAGATGGAGTCAATGAAGTAGTTGGTGTGAGCTTAAGTGGACTCTGGGGGATGGTGGAGGACAGGAAGGCCTGGAGGAATGTTGTCCATGGGGTCACAATGGGTTGGACGCTACTTTGACTAACAACAACAACAAAGCTGTTACTGAGAATTGATGGCTCTTTAAGTGTAGATTACCTGCAGAGTGTTGAGGCATATGAATATATTCTGTGTAATGATTTTCTTCTTTCAGTGTAGTTCAGTTCATGTTTCCTTAACAGGTATATATTCATGAATTTGTAGAAAACTAATTCTAGCAAATTCTTGAAATACTAAATTCTACATTTATTAAACCTTGGTAGAGTTACAAAAGCATACCTGTTCCTGTTGTGTAAAAACTGTTTCAAAACACTGCATCCTTCATAATGTAGCTAAGTCTTATTGTACAGTGGATATATCTTTGAAGTGGTTAGGCCTAAGAAATTATTTAGAATCTAGAATTTTGTGCAAGTATCTTAGTGTGGTTTTGGGGGATTTGAATGCTGTTGTGAGGAAAGGTTTGTTCTAGCTTAAGCTTAATTATATAGCAAGTCTTGCAAATGGTTTTTAGTAAGCCTAACAATCTTCCCCAGCCTGGTGCTCTCAGGATGTTTTGGACTACATCAGGTTAGGGATAGCAGACATAGTACGATAAATAGTTCGACATAGCAATTGTGACTAGCGGGGGGGGGGGGGGGGTCAGATAAGAAATTATATTCTTCTGTCTTCTTATCCTTAATACTTTTGATATAGCATTAACCTAGTGGTGATAAGCAAGAGTAAGAGAATGATAGGAATATTTTCCAATTTGTGAAATAATTCAGGATTCATAGCTTATTTATTTTAATGTAGGAGGCAGAAGAAAGTGATGTTTTGAGTTTGTCTTCTCATGAAGAAGAATGGAAGAGTGACAAAAAAACCAACAGTAATAGTTCCAGGTAAAGTTGGTCTCAAGCAACAGCTTCTGTCTTGCCCCTCAGCCTTCACAATGCTACATTTTAATTTCTGCAAGTGACCTTTTGAGAAAGGATTATATGCTAGGAATCAGGTAGATGATATGCCACGTTAGTCCTCGTATTGCAATATATATGCTTTATAGGGTTTATCAGCAAACCAAGAAATGTTAAAAAGTTGCACTAAAAGAGACTTCCTAGAGGGTTGCAGTTAAATTTTTATCATACAACTATACCAGTGTAGTCTTTTAGCTAGCTGCTTATTGTGTTGTTTCTGTAGTGTCCTGTAGAAACTGCAGAGTACCAGTTGTAAAAACAGCTTTTGCAGTTGTTTTAAAGATAGCATGACTTGGCCTCTGGCCTAGTCAAGCCTAGGACAATTCAGTTCTGAAGCACTAGTTCAAGTGCAAACTGTTTTGAACTAGTAAAGCCCTCAAATCTATCTTGTGCTATTTTGTGGCTGTCTGTTCTCCTATAGTGACTCTTCAAGCCAGTATTCTGACTGGATTGCTGATGCAGGGATTAACCTGCAGCCCCCTGTAAGAACTTCTCGTCGCAGAACTGTCAGATATTGTAGTTCTTCTGAAGATGAAGTCTCACTGGAAAAAATGTTTCCACCAAAGAGGAGGAAAAAAAGGCGGAAAAAATACAAACCAAAGGGGCATAAGGAGGTATTCACTTTTTCTGGTTTGTTTTTAGATACTTGATCGATTAATTGGGTTCAGATTTTATCAGCACTTATTTCATGAATCCAAGTACCTTAGGATGCTGTCAAGACTACTTGCATTTTTGTGAACAGATAAACATTGGTACAAAAGAGTGTTATGTTGCACAAATACAAATCGTAGGAGCTGCAGTTTAGGCAAAAGATAGATAACTGTAGATTAGAAGCATTTTGTTTTAAATTGGCATGATACTATAACAGATCTATATACCCACAAGGAAGCACAACTTCAAAGAGAGGATTTTAAGTAATCATATGTAATATTTGTTTGAGTTACAGTAGGTTTGAGCTGTGGAATTTGTGATTCATAGCTCAGTTTCTATGCTACTATGCTATATGAGCTGTGTAATATACCAGAAAGTAACCTGGTTTGCATGATCATTGTGACTCAAATAAGTCATAGTGGGCTGTTACCCAAGTTATCATTGATGCAGTTGTAAAATAAAGTTCTCCAAGGTAGCTGTATGGAGGAGTGGACTTAAAAGGAACATTGCAAAAGAGGCACTGTGCTGCAACAGGAAAACTTGAAAAGCTGCAAATAACTTAATGAAATCCCTCTTATATGCTTTTAAAGTTTGTCCAGTTAATTTGTAGTCATAGCACTGTTCTAATTTGACTAATTTTTCGTAAGGACTTGCAAGTGAACACTCCCCAGCAGTTGACATCCCCCGAACTTTCCTCTGAGTTCCAGCCTCCTGACTGGATAACAGACATCAGACTCCGAAGGTCTCCTTTTGTCCCACAAATGGGTGATGAGGTGAATTTAAACTGTGCTACTTAATTTGCTACTGTTTTTCAAAGTGGTATAACGAAGCTCAGTTCTATAACCTGCTGTATCTCATGGGAGAGTAGTGTTTTCACAGGAGGAACACCATACTTTGGTGGTACTGTCTTGTAACCTTATGTAATATCTCACCTAAGTCACAAGAAGAGCCACCAAACTCCATTTTTAGCCATCTTTAAAACAAAGCAAGCTGGGATTGCTTACTGACATGTTAGGCTACATGCACAGCTGTCTAATTTCAGTTTTAAAAGGCTACTTGCTGTTGAGGTAAAAGAGACATGGATTTTGGCAGGGTTAGACACTATGCCCAACTTGAAGTGAAACAAATGAGATTAGGATAGACTGATTTGTGTTTGGTTCTATTCAAGCTGGTGGGTTGGTGAGTGGAACAAGCGGAGGATTACTTTCACCCTTTGTTAATGTAAGCCACCGTTCTAACTAAGTAGAGTAAAAATGTTTCTAACTTATGTTAAACTAATTTTGGATTCTGCTTGTTGATTTTCATTCATTGACTTAAAACTTGTTTTTGCTAGGTGGTATATTTTCGACAAGGTCATGAAGCTTATATTGAAGCAGTGAGAAAAAACAATATTTATAAATTAAATCCTCACAAGGAGCCATGGAGAAAAATGATTCTTAGGGTAAGACTGCTTCAGCACTTTTACTATGCAAAGTAACTTGCCATTTTTCTCATTGATTCCCTTAGGAAACTAGTAAGGTGTGTAAGGATTAGGGTTGGAAGTGAACTTTATCGCTGAGTGGGGAATTGAACATGGACTATTCTGCTTTAAATATTGCTTGATCTACTTCACCGTGCCAGCTCTTAAATGTTTATGAATTATTTATTTTCAGTTAAAGAATGCTACTCATCCACTGAGCAGCTTGACACTTACTTGTATCTTCCTTTGTGTAAAAGGAAGAGAACCCAATAATAAACAGACATCAAAGTAATTGTTTCTCCAAAGTTCAATATAGCCATCCATTGTAAAGTCTCAGGGTTATATCAAAGAGAGTTGAACTTCCTTAGAGTAGATCCACTGAAATGAATGGAGCTTAAGTTTGACTAACACTGGGTATAACCCTTAATTCTAGAATTTAAAATGATTGCTATTTGAGGAATGTATTTCTGACAGTGACCTCATGTTTGCTGTCTTCTGCAATACCATACAAGTATAACAATGAAGGGTTTAGTGTCACTATAATAAAAATAATGCATAAATCTCTTTAGAACAGTTAAAACATGAACACTAGTATAGGTTACAAAGTATTTTGCGCTTTGTTTTTAAAAACCATCTAACATTGTCTGTGGATTTAAGCTTTATGATAAGGGCCAAGAATCTTAATTACAGGTAAGTAACAAACCCCAGATCTTTCTGTTTTTGCAAGATAATGACTTGTTTTAAGTTCTTTTCAAGAGTGTGGTATGATTACTGTATCTTGACTTTTTGTTTTTGCCATTCACAGGCTTTTATATAGAAGTCTGAGTAATGAATTTAACTAGTGAACTAGTATTAATTTTAATTTTTATGTGCTTTATTAGGAACAAGAATTGGTCAAAATTGTTGGGTTACGTTATGAAGTTGGGCCTCCTACACTATGCTGTCTCAAGCTTAATCTTATGGATCATGTTACAGGGCAGCTTCTGGATAAATCATTTTCTCTCAAGTAAGTATCTTATTCCTATTTCTATCATGCAGATTGTAGATAGTCTTGTACATATTTACAGATGGACTAATGTTTAATCTCCTTTCTAGATACCATGATATGCCAGATGTTATTGACTTCCTTGTGTTACGTCAGTTCTATGAAGAATCACGACAACAAAACTGGCAACCTTGTAAGTCTGTCCTTCTCAGACTATAGAAATATTAGCTTAAGAATGTTGTAAATAGCTTGGTGAACTGATTTTAGGAATTGAACTGAGACCTTCAGCCTCCTTTTGCTTCAGTCATTATCATTAAGCTAAAGGAGGGAATGGCTGTTGACATAACTTACTAATGGAATTCATGTGTAAGGAAGTTTTCCTTTTATAGATTGTACAAATGTAATGTAAAACCTAAACATGGATGTGGCAAAACCATTATTTTCTCAGAACGTTGCATGCTAGCTGGAATTCTTTAGGCTTGTGTTTTATTTTGAATTCTTCTATAACAGTAGAGATACTAACACCATAGACTGAGTCACTTCAAGTACATTTGCAGATACCATGCATAATTTGTAAATTTCTGTTGTTCTGAAGATAAGATTGAGAGGAAGAAGAGAATTATGTAAGCTGCCTTAAGTTTCTTGGAAGGAAAACAAAGGTGGGATATAAATATAATAAATTGTAGTGCATTATCTGCTGACCCAAGCTTGGGCAATACTGACATAGGGGATGAAATCCAGAGTACTGATAGCCACACTATTTTTCCATATTGCTTACCAGCAAAAATGCTTATTTAAAAGAAGTGTATAGCATCTGGTGTTTTTTTTTTTTTTTTAACAGGTGACCGCTTCCGTTCAATTATTGATGATGCTTGGTGGTTTGGAACTGTCTTAAGTCAAGAGCCGTATCAGCTACAATATCCAGACAGCCCTTTTCAGTGTTACAGTGTTAAGTACGTTCGTGCTTACTTTAGCATCATCACTTCACATTGAAGTGAATGTTGTAAAGACAAAATTGCTTTGGCAGTTTCATTTACCCTGAGGCAGTCCTGGCGCAGTTAGGGCGCAGTCCTGTGGGGATGCCCATAATACTCCTAACTCACAAGATTGTGAGCAGCTGATGCAGCACGTTATTTTGGAGCAAGGAAAAAGGTGGCTGAGACACTGCCAGTAGAGCTCGCATCTTCAAGGCACCAGTTTCTTCAGCTCCTTGCCCCAGGGATGCCCCCAAAGATCCTTCCCTGAGGTTGCTCTTGCAATTCCAGAGAGGTGTCTGTGGAACAAATTTTCCTCATAGCTGGAATCACTTTCAGAAGACTATGGGCAGAACAAATCTGTGTCCCCTGGACAGGGCCTAAATGACCACAGGATTGCTCTGCCCAAAGCCTTGTGAAAGTGTCATTATTTATAATGAAAAATGGGGGTGCAAAAACTTAAAACAAGTGCCTCAGACTTGCCTTTTTCTTTACCTCCTGACTTGTGCCTTGGAGGAAAAACCCAATTTGGAAGGTTAAAAAGAAAAGAGAAATAATTGTTTGGCTAGAGTGGGATGTGGCAAATACTGTCTTTTCTGGATTGAACTGTGTATAAGATTGCAGCACAGAGTATGCATACTAGAGAGTAAGCCCCATTGAACACGGGGGGGGGGGGGGTTAGTTCTGATACTCCTGTTAGTAGTTCCTCTGCTCAGAGATTTGGTTCTTACATAGTCTGATATGAGTAAAGTCTTTCCTTTAGGTTCCAGTAAATGAACTCACTAGTAGTTTGCTTCTGAAGGCATTGGTATAGGAGTAGAAGAGGGGATATTTCAAAGGTAATTGGTAAGAGTTTCAGAGCTTGTGCCTGTTCCCCTGAATGAAGGTTCTGTAATTCAAAATTAGATGGATTAAAATATTGGTCTCCTGGTCCATGTTTTGAAATTTCCTTTTTTCCCTAGTTTTTGAATTGACAAAAGTAGACAAAGCATCCTGACCCAAGGGACACTTTTGCTTGACAAGAAAATGTACCTGACTTAGATTCCACTGGACTATTCCAGTATAATTTTACTGTCATGGGAGAGTAACAACAACCACAATTGTTATCTTCCCCATCCTTTCTATAATTTTTAGAATTAGAACAGTAAACATTGTATATTCTATACTGGGGTTGCTATTTTATATTTAAATTTATCTTGTTATTAAATAGATGGGACAATGGTGAAACTGAAAGACTTAGTCCATGGGATATGGAACCAATTCCAGAGAATGGTATGTAAAAATATTTTTTTCCTGAATACTTGTAACCCTTGCTGCATAACCATCAGTGTGTGTATTAGCTCTGTGTTAAGTATTTTCTGAAATAATAAGTTAGTACATTAGGAACATGTTCTCAGAATATTAGTTACACTAAAAGGAGTTACACTATTTGCTATATTTCTTAATGATATTATAAAGTACGATTCTTAATGAGTCATTGACAAAACACCTTAAAAACAAACTCTTGCATGTAAGTGAAATATGACATACTGGTGACTTGGCCTATTACACAGCAACAATAGTAGTGCCACTGATGTATGCATACCTTCATGATCTATCCTATATATTATGAGCTTCCTAAGGTGAGATGTGTGAAGTCCACACAATTTGGTTGAGCTTCTTGAAAAACTGGTGCTCATCAGGTTAAAAACATAAAAAAGGATAGCTTTACACATTGCAAAGGGTCACTCAGGCACACCTTAGACATGACATGTGCTTGTGTATTCCTGACTTTAAAAAGTCAAAAAATCAGCCCTTGGGGCTGCAGCCTTGAGCAGAAGTATGATGCGGCAAGGGACTCTTTAACTCTGCCCCTGAATCTCACCTCCTTTCACCTGTTTTTCTTGTATAAAAGAAAAGATACAGGTAATCATATTTTTTTCCACTGTGAAGTGCAAAGTAGCACCAGAGCGCAGGAATTCTTTTTGGTGGAAGAATATAATGAAAAGGACTAAACAGCCCATAAGGACAAGATTAACAAGGATTTTAAGTCATTCCCTGATTTTGGAAAGAAAATACAGTTCTGTGAAAATTATGTAAGCACTGGTGGAAGGGAGGACTCAAGGCATTACTACAAGATGGATTACTGAAGCAGTGATTATGTAGTATTCAACAAACACTCTAAATGACTGCTATATTGCTGAGCTTATCTTTCAACTTAAGAGTCAGTGATTTTTTTTTAATAGCAGTCACTTTTACCTTTTTAAAGATAGTTTAGAAGTCAAGAAGGTATGTGGAGAATAAAGTTGTATTTAGTGATGAGGTATTCTTCCAGTTAAATGATTGTAGTAATAATTAATAGTTTGCCTGATGTTGAACCCAATATGATCTTTATTTCATTCCATTTCTATGCTGCCCCATAACCCAAAGTTTTTCTGGGTGCCTTACAAATGTTAAGACAGCATTAAATGCATAAGATACAATAAAAAACAATAAACAGATAAAATAAAACAATAAAATAATAGATGAGCACCACATCATAAAATATAGCCACACATAATGCAGCCTATAAATTAACCAAAGCTTAACTTAAATGATCCATAACAAAATATAAAAGTATAAAGGTAAATTAAATCTTAATTGGCAGTATACCATATTGTTTTATAGTTTCTTTCCCTGGAAACTTGTTCTGCTTAAAATACACAAGATACCCATTTCAACAATATGGATGGCTTTTTCCTCTTGTCCTCCACTGCTGGCAGAACAGTCAAGTGGGTGGAGGATCATTTCTGGGACTGCAGATTTGTTCAGAAATAAGTGTTTGAGATTCATGGAACCAGGTGGCATTGCATTTTGGGCTTTCTTCCCTGTCGCACTGAAAACCTTGGGAGTTGTTGGGATGGGGTTAAAAGTATATTTACATCTGTTTACAGTTAGGTATGCTCACACTAGACCAGATTTGAGAAAGTTACATAGCAAAAGGTAATACCCTGATCTCTTGGTATCTGTGGTTGACTTTATGAGCTTTCTGGTCTACAATGATTGGCAATAAGTTTTCCTGTTCAGGCAACAGACTGGCAAGTGTCCAAAACATGTCTATGTTTTTTGCAGAAGGCAATAGTTATACTTAGTAATTATTTCAAAATTAAATAGGTTTTGCTTCATTTGCCAGATTTGTTTCATATGGCAATTTTGGAGCCAGAAGCTGGTTCCTATTATGAAACCCTGGTATTATTATTCTCCTAATTCATTGACATTAGTATGTTGCCTTGTTATTGTCTGTTCTCAAGTAACTGGGAAATTTCAATTGTATCTGTTGTCATATTTTTCTTGAAACAAAGGATACATTGAAAATATTTGAAGAATTAAATCTCTGACTCTGAGTCTCTTTTAAGGGAATTGATATTCAGGAATCAAACATGGATATTATGTTGTCATACATGTGTGGTATATGTCATGAGAAGTGCAGTTTATTAAACTTGCTGCATTTTTTTGTGTTTTTTCTAAAATCACCTGTATTATTTGCTGAAAATAAGTAGTTGATCAGCCTGAGGAATTGGGAGCTAGTGTTTCTGTGACTGCTGAAGAAATGTCAAAACTATTATACAAACCTCAGAAGGGAGAATGGCAGGGAAAGTCCCAGGATGAAGAGTGTGAAAGGATTATTTCTGGAATTGATCAGCTTTTGAAACTTGGTAAGAATCTAGAACTCTTACAACTATCCCTCTGTGTGTGTGTGTGTGTGTGTGTGTGTGTGTGAATGAGTGAGAGAGAGAGAGAGAGAGAGAGAGAGAGAGAGAGAGAGAGAGAGAGAGAGTGAGTCATGGGTCCTCAAACTACGGCCCGTGGGACGGATCCGGCCCGCCATGGCCATTCATCCGGCCCATGCGCGCATGGGGAGGCGGTGGATTGCTCAGTCGGAGATGGTCTCCAAGTGAGCAAGCCGCCACTGCCTGCTTCCCATACATGTGCGCTCGCTGCTGCCTCGCAACACGGGCAGGGAGGTGGTGGCTTGCTTGCTTGCTTGCTTGGAGATGGTTTTGGAATCGCTGGGAGAGCTCCGAGCGAGTGAGCCACTGCTGTGCGCGCCCGATGCCACCTCACTGGCCCGCACCCCCCAAGCACCCCCACCTCACTGGCCCACAACAGTCACCTCAGCCTTTCAACTGGCCTCCTATTGAAAAAGTTTGAGAATCGCTGGTCTATGTGTTGAATGAAAGATTCAGGATGCTCACTGCAAGTACTTGATAAATTCAGCTTGTTCCAGTTGTTTTCCAAAACAAGGTCTAACTTGTTTTTAATGCCTGATTTATTATTTGTATGGAAATCAGTGTTCCGGTAATTAGAGCTGTTTCAGCTGACTGAAATTACTATTTGACAGATATTGCAGCAGCATTTGCTGGTCCTGTTGATCTGAACACATATCCAAAGTACAGTACAGTAATAGCTTATCCGACAGACCTTTGGACTATCCGCATGAGACTAGTCAACCAATTTTACAGGTTAGTTTGATTCAACTCTAGAAATAAGGTAGTTTCGAGATACAACCTTATTATACAAAAATGTGTATTTGATATGTTTAGTTATGTTTATGTTGCATTTAATACAAAGTGATGCATATTTTTTGTTCAGTGTTCTCCCATTTCAATAAGAATTGGGGCAGTATGCTACAATGACTGTATACTTCTAGCATTCTGTAAGGGAGTTGTAACATAAGGTACATACAGGAAAGATTTTTTCAGTGATTTGGAGGTATATTGGGTCACAGTTGGGTCACAGTTGTGCCACCAACAGGTGGCTAATATCGAATATTTTGCATGGTAAAATAAGACTGGGATGGGTGGTGAGTACAATGATAATACTTTCATTAGATTTAAAAGTATAAAGGATGCTGCTGCACTAGAAGGGGAATACTAACTCAAGCATGGAATATTTGGTGCATTCAGCATGATAGTGTTCTGTTAAAATAATAAATAGTAGGATTTCTTCGTGGTGGTCTCTGTGCATCACACATATGGGTGCTGCGCCTGCGCAGTGCTTGTATTCAGGAAAATTCTGCTTTAGTGAAAATAGTTTATTCTTCCTGTTTTCATTGTATTCTGTTTACTGTTAAATATAGGAGAATTTCTGCATTGATTTGGGAAGTAAGGTGTATTGAAAGCAATGCCCTAACTTTCAATGAACCCAACAGTACTATTGCTAGGTCTGCTCAAAAAATCACAGATCAGCTCCTAGAATTCATCAGGTAAGCTACATTTTAGGCTAAGCAACATTTACATTTCTTAAAATTGAATAAGAATTGCCTTATTTCTAGTTGTTGTTTATGGTCATTGTTTGCTGTGAGAGTAGCTGCAGGCTTTAAAAGTATTAATTCATAAGTTTCTCAACTGATAATGAAACAGTGTTGTGTCTATGTCCATTTTGAGAATATATTTTCATTTTCCATGGTAATTTTGGTGAAACTAGGTTTTGTAGGAGTCATTCCTTACAAATTATCAACATCCTCCTTAAATGTACCTCTTTCTGAGTCAACATACAGAAAAATGTCCAACTTGTAATTGGTGTAGTCATTTGAATAGACAGCAGCTACATTTTTTTGTTGAAAGTAACAAAGCTTATTTTTTTTCTAGGAATCCAAATTGTACCAGTATTTTTGAGTTGTGTATAGCAACCAACAGTGAGGATAGCAGTGATGCTGGTGAACTGGTAATAACTTAATGTTTATGTTGTTTAGTTTACTCACAGTTTATTATTCCTGCTATTTTATTGAGCCATGTCCTTGCCATTCACCTTAACACCAGTATGGACCCAGTATTGTAAGCTCCTTGAAACATATGTTTTCTGACACTTTAGTTACGCGTTAGCTTCTAAAAATGAATGTGTCTTGACTTTTATAGGATGATGAAGAGACTTACATGCCAAGAGCATCTTCTAGAAAAGTAAGTTAATTTGCTTTTAACCCAAAGTTTCCCAGTGTATACAGAAGTAACCATTTTGTGATACTAACTGCTAGGAAGTGAACAGATGAATATGAAATGTTACTTCCTAACTTCATTTTATACTTAAGAATGTTTTCTTTTAAAGAAACAGGTCCTTAGACGGAAAACCACTGCAAAACCCAGCTATGATGAAAATAGTTGGAAGAAACAGTGTATGGAACTTGTAAATTTAATTTTCCAGTGTGAGGATTCTGAGCCATTTCGACAACCTGTTGACCTGGATCATTACCCAGTAAGTTACTGTTTATTGATGTGAACAGGGTGTATACATGTACACACACACCTGTCTACTGCATTTCCAGTGTACACTGTGTTTTCCCTGTTCTTAGCCTCTTTTGCTTCTTAACACTGTTCTAAAGTAGGTTATGTGAGAGAGCTATTTATTTTGGCCAACCAGCAAGTTCCATTGCTTGATCAGTTGGCTTTTTCCTCAGAAAAAGTGTTCTGTTTCCTCTACTGAGTCTTTAACTGGAAAAGTGGTGAGGACACTGACAAGATGGTTCTCTCCCCGCACAAGTTCCAGATTAATAATACAGACTAGTGATTAGTGCTTGGTTCTCCACCTTTCCCTTCTACTTAATCTAACTTCTTTTTTAAAGTCTTCATGGACAAAAGAGAGCTATTATTTTCAGAATCTAGCTGCATGGTCAAACTTGGCTAATGCAGTCATGCTTCTTTTCATTCTATAGGAAAATTTATATATGCTTTTGTTTTGCTCTCCAGTTTATATGTGCTTACATGCTTATATGTCTGAGAAATTCTATGCCATCACTTTTTTCTTTTGTGCCAGCATACTTTAAATAATGGAGTCTTTTGGATCTTTTTATTTAGGACTACAGAGAAATTATAGATACACCAATGGACTTGGGCACAGTGAAAGAGACACTAGAAGCTGGAAATTATGATACTCCAATGGAACTGTGCAAAGATATCAGATTAATATTTAGCAATGCTAAAGCATATACCCCAAACAAAAGGTCTAAGGTAACTCTTCTGTACTGTTTATCATACTAGTAAAATCATCATATCTTCTAGTTGGAGATTAAAGCAAGAGAGGTTAAAGGACATAAGGCGGACCAAAAAACCCCACTGCCTAAAGATGAACCTGTGGTGTGATATCATTGCAGATTTTGTTTCTTTAAGAAAAGAAACAGGCTTAATTAGAGAAATATAGAAGAGTTTCTACTTACAAAGTCATTTTAAAGCAAGCGATTACCAGAAATACTGTCTGTAGAGAAGTAAATCTTCCGCAGTAACCATGCAAAATCATGAAAGATTCTTACTGGAAAGGTTCTCTATAATCCCAAGGTATCTCTGCTACATTCCTTCTGTACAGAAACTTTCATCAACTGATTCTTGTTTAGTAAGACTTTAAATACATGTTTGTTTCTTTATCAAAGATCAAACTATTGAAATAATCAGTGTTAGAAGCTTTGATTTATTGGATTAAAAATAACACATCATAGTATAAAATAGAAATTTGAGGAAGTTATAAAAAGGGGATATTTAAAATTAATTACTTCAGCATATTTTAATAACTTGTTGATTTCAGAGATTTGCAAATAATTCAGAAGCTTATTTATGTTTCATATTAGTGTATTACAGTTACACATGCTTTGAGTGAGCCTATAAGAACCCCTTGAATCCATGCACGGCTTTTTTCCACACATGGTAGAATGTGTTTTAATTAAGACTGACAAAGAGTAATTTGATGTGTCCTCTTACCTCTTTTGACTGAGTTACTGCACTGCTAACATTCTAAAGAGAACTGATCAGTTATCATATGTTAATTGTGTCATTAAGGTTCTCTAATTTTAATAGGAATATGATCATTCTTAACCTGCCTTTCCAAATCTAGATATACAGTATGACATTGAGATTATCTGCACTGTTTGAGGAAAAAATGAGAAGAATCATTTCTGACTTTAGAACTGGACAAAAATACAATGAAAAATTCCACAACAGTCGGCAACACAACAGGAAGTTGCAAACTCAGAGTGAAACTGTACAGCACTCTACCAAAACACTCAGGTAAAATCCTTAGCATAGAATTTTCATTTTGTGGATGTTTTTCTTTAATAGGATGGACATAGCTACTGACATTGGCAACTGATTTGTGGTGGTGATTGAGAGTCTAGGGCTTGCCTCTGAATAGATTTGCACTGGATCGTGCATCCAGATATACAGTAGAAGTGTTCATCTGATCAGCTGAAGAGCTGGCTGAGCATTATGTCTTTGTCTAAGCTGACTTCTGCATAATTTTAGCACCTTCCTGCTCTATCTGCTCTAGGATCATGCTGGTACTGGGTGTTTGCTTCTTCCTTTAGTTGAATGGACAAAATTCTGTTTGGTTAAGATTTTATGAAGTAGGCTAGGGATAAATTCTTAAGTTTCAAACATACCATCATACACTATTACAAGATGAAAATCTTGGATAAACATAATTAGTGTTTATGCATGCATTAAGGCTGCTTGTATGAATGTTACTATGACCCAGGGATAAGGTTAAGTGATTAGATAAAACAAAGATGTTTCATAAAGGCAGAAACTGACTTCTTACCACTTTATTTAGCTCTTGTGGTGAACAAGAGTTATGCTACTTTCTTTTATTATATTTAAGTGTTCTGAAGAGTAGCTCATTGCAGTGTCTCTTCTACAGCATTTTCTTCCACAGGAACCTAGCTAATGGCCTGCCCCACAAGGAAAACTTTTCCAGACAAGTTTCTAAAGCCAGTCAAATTTGACCATCTAATTCAAAGAATCATAGGATAGTAGAGTTGGAAGGGGCCATGAAGGCCATTGGGTCCAAACCCCTGCTATTGTAGGACACAGTGTTACACCATCCCATTCAGAGGGCTGTCCAGTTTCTTTTTGAATGTCTCTCTTGTGGGAGAGCCCACCACCTTTCTAGGCAGCTGGTTCCACTGTCAGATTGCTCTGACAGTGAGGAAGCTTTTCCTGATGTCCAGTCTGAGTCTGGGTTGTCGCAACTTGGATTGATTATTCTGTGTCCTACACTCTGGTATCAGCAAGGGCAGTGTTTACAAACTCTGGATCATTTTTGTTGCCCTCCTCCGGATCCTTTCTAATTTTTCTGCATCTTTCTTAAATCTTGGTGCCCAGAACTATACACAGTATTCCAGCTGAGGGCTGACCAGTGAGGAGTATAGAGGAACTACTCCTCCTCACGATTTGAAACTAATACTTCTGTTAATGCATCCCAATAGCATTTGCCCTTTTGGCGGCTGCTTCACATTGTTGGCTCATGTTTAGCTTATTGTCCACAATTACCCCCAAGATCTTTTTCTTTTTCAATTCTGTTGAGCCACGTATTCCCCATCTTGCATCGATGCACTGGTTTCTTTTTCTTAAGTGGAGAACTTGGCACTTGTCCTTACTGAATCTCATTCTGTTGCTTTGAGCCCAATGTTCAAGTTTATCAAGATCACCCTAGATCTTCATTCTGTCTTCTAGGGTGATGATTGTTCCCCCCAGTTTTGTATTATCTGCAGATATGATTATCTTTCTTTGCACTTCCTCATTTCAATGATTGAGATGTTGAAGAGCACTGGGCCCAGGACCAAACCCTGTGATACCCAACTAGTTACCTCCATCCATTTTGAGAAGGTGCCATTGATGAGCACTCTGTGTCCAATTCAGTAGCCAATTTTGGATTCACCTAATATTCATGGAATCATAGAATAGTAGAGTTGGAAGGGGTCATGCAGGCCATGGGGTGCAACCCTGTGCTGTTGCAGGACACCAAGTTACACCCTCCCACTCAGATGGCTGTCCAGTTCCTTTTTTGGACATATTGTTTGTTACATGTGAAATGTTGCATGTGAACTTTCTATCTAGTCCAGTTTTTGCGAATTTGCTTATTATTATTATTATTATTATTATTATTATTATTATTATTATTATTATAGCATTTCTATGCCGCCCCTTGCCGAAACCTCGGGGCGGCTTACAACATGATAAAATACATTGAAATACAATAGTACATAATAAATTACCATTAAATATAAAAATACAAAGAATACATTGATTTACAAAAATAAAATTAAAATTATCAGTATAAAATAAAAATATAGGAGGAGAAAGAGAAGGAAGAAGAAGTTGCCCTGGCCAGATCATATGTTTTAACAATTGAAATGATGTTTAAATAAAAAGGTCTTTACCTGGCGCCGAAAAACCAGTAACGACGGTGCCAGGCGGACCTCTTTGGGGAGTGAATTCCATAGGTTGGGCGCCACCGCAGAGAAAGCCCTCCTCCGGGTACTTACTCTCCTAATTTCTTTCATGGAGGGTTCCCGGAGAAGGAACTCTCCCGCAGATCTCAAAGGGCGGTCGGGCATATACGGACGTAAGCGCTTGTTCAGGTAGCCAGGACCCAAGCCGTTTAGGGCTTTGTAGGTCATAATCAACACCTTGAATTGGGCCCGGGCTTCAATGGGAAGCCAGTGAAGCTGACGGAGGACTGGAGTCATGTGAGCATAACGCCCCATCCCCGTCAGTCATGCAGCACTATGTCGAAAGCTTTCCTAAACTCTAGGTAGATTATGTCCACAGTGTTCCCTCTGTCCATTAGGGAGGTTACCCAGTCAAAAAAAATGAGATTAAACTAGTCTGACAGGATTTATTTTTGATAAATCCATATTGGCTTCAATTAATCATTGCATTTTCAAGTTGCTTGCAGATAGATGTTTAAATAATTTGCTCCAGAATTTTTCCAGGGATTGGTGTCAGACTAAGTGGTCTGTAGTTCCCAGGTTCATCTTAATTAACTTGGTTCATGCTTGCAGCATGTCATACTGGGTTCTTAAATATGATGTGGGTCATCAGAGGGACAGTTACCATCCCCATCCACTCCTTGCCATTGGTTCTGATCCTTTGCTTTTCATAATAAGTTAGACTTGCACAATTTGAGGAAATGTGGAAAACCTGTCCATATTTCAGAGCGTAAGAGCAACAGTGTCTTCTGTGTATGCTACAAGATTTTGAATATCATATTTTTCTCCCACCAACCCGCTTGAGGTGGCTATGACACATCATTGATCAGTCAGAACTTAACATGAGAAGAAGCAAGCTTCATAGCTTCTTAAAATGCTTGCTGCTTCCACTGTATAATCCTTCCATTTTGTTTTCCCTTTTCTGACAACTCAGAGAAAGATCCAGGCACATTAATCTCTGGAATGGTGTAGTGGTAGTCAGTTGAAATACCATTTTCTATTTGCTAAATGTGACATCTGTGATTTATCCATTGCATGTATATCCTGCCTTTCCTTTAGGGAATTCAAGATTGCAGGCATTTGTGGTTATTGGGAAGACTTGACTTAATCAGCTACCCAAAAAGATCCCTATAAATTCATACCATTGTCATATTACTTCAGTCATTTAATATACATTACTTGAAATTATTCATAAAGAAATTCCTAAAGTTTCCAACCTTAGTGTGTTCAGGGGCATCTTCTAATTTTATTTACTTTTTTCTCACAAAATCATTTACAATAATTGAAGATAATTTTCATAAATGTGGAGTACAAATAATTTGAAAAGAAATGCACCTCAAAAGGGCACTTCAAAGTTGCTAGTTTTAAGCAGCAGCTAGTTAAAAGTTGGAAAACAAATATTTATTTATTTATTTATTTATTAAAACATTTTTATGCCGCCCCATTCGCCGAAGCCTCGGGGCGGCTTACAACATAGATAAAACAATAAGTTAAAATATAGGTGTGCTTTTCAATTCTTATTACTGACAGTGTAAATGAAGTATTTTTATTTTCAAGTATTTCACATTAATTCTGTTGAATCTTGAAATTCACCTAATTAGTGCAGTTTCAGAACTAGAAAAGATATAGCACATTCATTGACTATAAGTTGCTTTCATTCTTTTTGACAAGAAATGCAAAGCAGAAGCAATGTAAGTCTCAGGCAAAAATTCAGTCTGAGCCAGAAGACTCTTCTAACCAAAATACCTCCAACAGAAAGTTCTGTCTTACAAGCCATAGCATGTACCCTAGCAGCTCCAGTCGCAGTATTGCTGGCATATCTTCTGATTCAACCTCTACATCATCTTTTGGAAAAAAAGCACGATCAAGAAATATATCTGTGACATGCAGTTCCACATTGTCATCAGGTGAGTAACCTGGGAAAAAAAGCTTGTTAAAAGAAATGCTTCACTTTAATTGCAGACCTCCTTTTGTTTTGCTCTTAAAATGTGTTCAACTCAAGCAGCCACACTCACAAAGAAATCCTGTAAACAGGAAAAGAAAAGAAAAATCTGAGGTGATGGAACTCCCTTTTATTAATCCTCCCACCCACCCAGAATGAAAGGAAAGGGAACATTTTTCTTTCCCCTTTTGGGGGAACAGAAAAAACCCATTTCATTTCCAGTAATTCCAGTGTGATGGAACTAAAGGATATCAGCTTAATGGCCGATGTATATTTGCACCTCAATCTGAAGACATGTAGGGGGAACATCTGGGCTTTGAATCCCATCAATCCACAGTCCCTCCCAGCACATCTTCTTGGTTTGATCTTCAAACTTCAGTGCCAAAGAAACACCACATTGTACAGACCTTTTTCCAGCATAATGAGTAAGGCTTATGAAGAAGATGGAGCTCCCTTCTGGAGGGCAGGCCTTTTACTTGATCCTTGAAAAGAAAGAGCCAAAAAATTCCATGTTCCCTAAAATTGTATCACAGCCTTAACAGTGTTAAACTCATTGAAGTACTGAAGACAGGGCATGAAAAAATGTTCCATCTTTCAGTCTGAAAATTACATATTAGCTTTACTATCCTGCCTTTCTTTATAACTGTGTTACTTTGTGGAACTTAAATTGGCATATACCAACAGACAAAAATATCTAAGTCCATATTTTTTAGTAAAATGTTGGAAGAATATGCACATAGATGTCCTGATGATTTTAATCTGTGATTGGATTTTTCTGTTGGTAAGTTTATTAAACCTAGTTAAGTTTTGATATATACTACTTGTAAAGCTTTTATTTTTCAGCACAATGTATGCTCTTTTTAATCTACTTTTATTTTGTTCATTACATGTGAATTTCACTATTAATCAAAATCATTATCCGTTATAACTTTTGAAATTCACAGGAAAATACTGGATATGACAGTCAAGTCTTTACTGCTTCATGAAATGCTGAATTACCAGGAAGTTAATATGAGTTAAGCATATTTGCTCCATACATATTGCCTTAGTTTATATACTCTTGTGTTTCAAGTTAATTGATACTTTTAAATGGCGATAATTGAATAGCATCTGGCAAGCCAATAAAAATTGTTCTTTGGAGTCCAGTTATATGAATAGCCATTCTTTTTTTGGTGTGAGTAGGGATGATTATGCTTAATTCTATTGTCAAATGTCTTTAAAGAGAGCTTCTGAAGCACAGGACTGCTATCAAAGCTATTAGATGTGCAAAGTGCAGTCCTACTCTTCACACATCAACCTAATTTTTAATATTAGAACTATAATAGAAAGAGTCTGAATACTTGAACCATGTAGTTTCATATAAATTATTGAGGACTTTAGAATCCTTTGACAACAAAGATAGGATTTGGATGATTTAGGTATAAGGTTTAAAATGTGGAACTCTAAGGTTTCTAGATCTTTTGTCAGATAACTCCAAAGGAAGAAACACTTGACATTCAATTAGCATAAAATTATCTAACTTTTCTAGAAAGTGAATTAGAACACTCCACAACTGCTTCATCTTCAAGTAGTTCAGAGGAAAGCAAAGAAAGTTCTGCAGCTCTGTCATCTCCTGCAATGCATAATGGAATAAATGAGAAAAAGAGAAGTAACTTCAGAGTCACTAGAAACAGAGTGTATCAGCAAAAACAAATGGGTAAGAGTAATTCAACTAATATTGACTGCACAATTATCACCTCTTTCATTACTCCCAAGTATGTCATTTCATGTTAATTTTGAAATCTCCAGCATTTGTATTGATTCATTATAGGTCCTTAAGGCATCTTTAAAGGCAGTGTAATAGTTAAAAGAACTAGAAACCCACTATATAGACAGTTGCTAAGTTAATTATTTTTAAAAGTAATAATGCAACTATAACCTCACAGAAATATTATCCTATAATGCTATAAATATTGTTAGCCATATACCTAAAAATTAGAATGAGTTTGGCAGGTATCCCTGGAGGGAAGTTCTCAACAAGTGCACTGTAACCAATATCTATCCTTGTACTTGTAAATCCATGATTGGTAAAGACACTAAGACTAGAGCCTCATCAGATGCCTAAGAATGTGGGACAAGTTCTACAGCAGGAGGAGTTCCTTCCACTGTCTAGGGTTCAGAGAGTTTAAAACTTCAGTTAAAACCAGTACTTGGTGTTACACCTGAAAAATGTATAGAGATCCACAGATCGACTTACTTAATCACAAACTTAATCCATTCCAGGACTCTGGTCGTGACCCAAATTGGTCATGAGCCAAGTTAAATTTCCCCATAAGGTTCAATGTAAGTAAGGTTAATCCATTCTGTAACCATTTTTTTAATCAGAAAAATGTGAAGCAAAGTGACAAATAGCAACAAAGATTGTGGCCATCTCCCTCCTCCCCACCCCAAGCACAAGCATGGCCATCTCCCCTCACCACCCCCAGTATGACTGCGATCGCACCCATCATCCCTGCAAGCGCCTGTCAGCCCAGCACGTTGGTGGAGGGAGAGACGGGCGCGAACGCGGGCATGCTCGAGAGGGAGAGACTGGCGTGATAGTGCTGGGCTGGGCAGGGAAATGACCAAGATCACGGTTGCACTCCTGCAGGAAAGACAAGCGCAGTCATGCTCGTGCAGGAAAGATGGGTGCGATCTTGGCCATCTCCCCCCTGCCCCCAGCACGATCGCGGCCATCTCCCCACTCAGGGGGGAGGGGCAAGGGACAGGGAGACAGCCACAATCACAGTCGCCACCCAATGTAGAGTTTGCGACCTGAGTAAAAAATTTTATGAAATTTTTGTTCACGGCCCAATTTGGTTGTGAACTGAGGTGTTTGTGAGCCGAGGTACCACTGTATTTGTGACTAGATGCAGTTTTGAAATCTCTGACAAGTGAAATGTTCAGTGAGACAAACTAAAATGAAATTGTGCTAAGATTCTTTCAGTTATCTCTTTTCTTTGATCTTAGGAATAAATGTGAAGTGAATAAAGTCTGCTTTCTAAAGAAACCCAACCCTAAAGAATTATAGTAGTAGAATTTGACTAAAAGCTTGGTCCAAAACTTTTCATAACTCTTCAGTTAGGAATAAACAAATTGTCTACATTTAAAAAATGTTCAGAATTAATAAGCATCCATATTTTTATGTCTAGCTTCTCAAGAGAATGGAAATAGCCAAAGGACTACCAGGAGAAGAATATATGGGAGACAAACTGGCAATTCAAAAGAGACTTATGAAACTGTGAGCAATAGATGTGGAAGGCACAGAAAAATTCCACGTAGAAGTGCTACTGTAGCAGCTAATAAATTAAGACTGATGAGTGATGTAGAAGAGGAGCTCTCTAGCTCAGAAGGTGTTGGTATTGGAAGCAAAAACAGAAAATTGCCTCATCGCACTGCTTCTGCTGCAGCCCGAAAATTATTGCGAAATGACTCTGAGGAAGAAGGTTCCATGCAATCTGAAAGTGATATAGAGAGAGAACAGTCTAACAGAAGAAAGACCACCAAAGCTGGTTCAGCTCTTGTTAAAAAAAGACATGTTAGTGAATCTGAAAGTGGAAGCTCAGATTCTGAGAGTGATGTACAAACAGCATTAAAAAGGCGCCCTGTTAATGGACATAAGCAGCTGCACAGAACTGCCCACTCTGTATCTCCTAAAGTAAAGCCCATGATGGACTTCTCAGAAGATGATTCCAAAAGTCATGTGTCAGAGGATGGGAGCATTAAAAAAACTTATCAGTTGGTTTCTGCACACAAAAGCAACTCAGAGGCAGATTCTGAGCCAGAGAGATGCAATGGCTTAGCTAAACAGAACTGTAGAAAGGTAAAAGCTCACATTAGGAAAGCTAAAGTTTTGAGTGACTCAGAAGATGGAGTAGAGTCACAGGGAGAGGATGAAAATATCACTTTATCTCAGAACAGAGACTTTTCTGTAACTTCAAAGCAATTCAAAACTAGCTCTGAGTGCTTGTCTAATTTGGATTCTGGAACTGATAGCAGCTCAAGAAAAAGCTCAAGAAAAAGAAGGGAACCCATCAGGAAAGGTGATGTATATAATGTTTGGAAGCAAGGATGTGATTTTATATCTGCTTCAGCTTGAAAATGCTTTTTCTCATAGACTCTCACCACCATCAAACTTATATATGCAGCAGAGGCTGCTTTGTTGAAAAAAACAAACTTGGACCATTTTCTGTGGGGTTCATGTTTAGACTTACAACACTGCTTAACATCACTGAACATTATAGATATGATTGATTAAAATATTCTGCTTAACTGAATGTGTTGTTTTTAACAAAGGTATGCTATATAATTAGCTAAAATTTTTACGTAGCAATGTATAATTTATTAAGCAGAAGATGTCTACTAGGCTATAAATCTCAGAGATGGACATTGAGGCTTTGAAGGACCAGAGTGTCATTATACAGCTTATTAGCTCCTGCAGTAAATTTGTGGAACACTGTAGAGTTGATATGTTTTGCTTTTCCTTCTAGAATGGAGATAGGCAACATAGTGTCTGCGGAACATATGCATCTCTAGACACTTGTCTTGGTGCCTAACTTTTCCCAATCTTGTTTTTAATTTCACATTTTCTTACCAGCAGCTGGGCTAGCCATGAATAGCTTTCTGTTGGTGCTGAAAGCTATGGGTTCAAAGAAGTTGGTCAATGTGTTGGAGTTCAGACTCCACCTCTGCATTGTTCTCCAGTCTTTGACAGGTTGCTTGTTGTTCTCCATATTTCCCATGGTAGCCATTTTGGTTCCAGAACAAATTAACAGAATGAACCTATGTCTACATAGATTTTTTTTTTATCTACAGCTATATGTAACCATTTGCTACCTTTATTATTCTATCTATATACATACAAAAGAGTCAGCTTTTGTTAATATAAATGTTTAATACCGTACTCTAGATTCTGGGACTAAAGACTTTCTTTTACATGTTTTTATAGAATGTGTCCTCCAAGAGAATGGACTTAGAAGAAATACCAGAAAAAGAAGATATGAAAGTGATTCTCAGAAAGAAGAGGGGGCTTATAAAATGGAAAATAGTGACCATGGTGGTTACCAGAAATTGGCATCCAGAAGTGCTGCTATGACAGTTAATAAATCAAGACTTATGAGTCAAGTGGAAGACCTCTCCAGTGCAGAAGTCAGAGGCTGTAGAAACAAGAATGGAAAACTTAGCCATCGTAGTGTTGCTCCTACAACCAGAAAGAGTTCAGATAGTTCAGGGAACGGAAGCCAGCAATCTGGTGAAGAAAAAGCGGGGCGCTGTAACAGAAGAAAGTGCACTCAGACTGGGTCAGGTGCAGTTTCTACTCGGACTTATGATAGTGACTCTGAAAATAGAACTTCAGATTCTAACCATGCTACAAGAAAAAGCAGGCGTATGAACCCTCATGGGCAGAAACACAAAACTACATATGAAGAACCCCTTGGTCTAAAATCTAAAGCAGAAGTTTTGGAGAAAAAATCCAGGGTGGAGGTTTCAGAAAGAAACTTCAAGGGCCATATGTCAAAGAACAGAAGTCTTGATAAACATCCTGGGTATATGCACAATACTGTTGACCATTCTGAATCTGAAGCAGTTTCTGACTTAGACCAATATAGTAATGAAGTTAAGAGGCAAAACAACTATTGGAGGACTGCAGCTTCCAGGAAATCAAAATCCAAAAATCACGTCCAAGCAGCAACAGAATATGATGTTGAATATAGAGGAGATGGCACAGGGTCTCTGTCAGACAGCAAGGAACCTTCTAAAAGGAAAAAATCTAAATGCACATCAGACTCCAGTTGCTGTTCTGATCTGGAAATTGAAATGTATTCCAAAAGTAGTAATTATAGTGATGGCACAACACCATTAAAGAAAAAGAGAAGCAAAGCAGAGGTCATCAGAAAAGGTATTTCTAGCAGTAATGCATTTAACTTGCTTAGACCAGTATCTGAAGAAATGTAGAGCTAACAGGAGAATAGTAATTCCACACAAATACCTAACACTTGCAGGTGCTTCACATTCAGCAAGTAAAAATTACAGAGTAGGGTGAAGGGGATGCAAAGCATTACGACAGAGCAAGGATTACAGCTGGACTGTTTAGGGATATACCTGCCACACAGAGATTCTTTTTTCCCCACACAAAGATTCTTGATGAATTCTTACTCTTGAACCTAAAGCTTAGTTTTTGAACATCAAGTCTGAGGACTAGATCAAGCTTTCCAAAGTTCCCCAGAAGGCCATACTGCATGATTTGTTGCATGATTTTCCAGTTTTTGCATGTCTCCCCCTGTCCCCACTATCATCATTCCAGAATGCTGGAATGCCTCTATACTGTCACTGGGTACTTCAAATAAAATCTGCTGCTATCTCATCCCTTTAGTCCAAAAGAGGTTCTGCATCCCTCCTGCAAAGACTTGTTTTAAAAGATAGAACATTCACTTAGAACGTTTAGTATCAAAAATTCAGTTTAATAGCCCTTGAACTATTGTCCACTAAACAGTGCTTGACTTAACAGTATTACTTCAGTGAATACATTTGAATGTAACAATAAGCTGGAATTGCTCTTGCATGCTTCCCAGTTGTCCCCATTTAGCTCATCACACCATTGGGAATGATAAAACTAACCGGAAACAAATGAAGCACAAGCTTCCCATAGTATCCAGACCTGGACTCTGGCTTGTCACTGATCAGTTCAGCTATCTCTGTTGTTGTGAGACGCCATACAGGGGCAGTTGGACAGTCTGCACAAGCACTAGATTCATGAGCAGTAAGCCAGAATTTCTTGGTAACACTAATGTACTATATTTGAATATAGCCATTAGATTATTTGCCTAAGTGAATTAATTTCAGTTGGGAATATAATGTTTTAACTTTAAATTGTTTCTTTTATAGAATCTTTTTCTCAAGAAATATGCCAAAGTCCAAAAGTACTCAGGAATAGGAAAACGTACAATTATGCAGAATCGAACATTGAAGCTTTGAATATCAAAACACTTAATGGAAAGAAAATTACACGCCGAAGTGCTGCTGTAGCTGCAAGTAAAATTAAACTTATTAGTGATGCAAGGGAAGAGCTCTCGAGTTCAGAAGTTGGGTACAGCAGAAACAAGAACAGAAAGCTGCCATACCGCAATGCCTCTGCTGCAGCCAGAAAATTAATAGATGATTTACCTTCAGCTTCTGAAAGTGAAGAAGAATTGAAGGAATGTGAGAATAAAGAAAAATCAGTTCAGCCCTGTTCTTATGTGGCTAGAAAATCTAACAAAGAACCAGAAAAGCATTTGGCCTCTGAAAAAGAGGGTGCGGTGAAACAAAAGAGCAAACATAGCAATAGCTCAAGGCAACAGCGAACTCTTAGAACTATATCTCAAGGATATCATAAAACGAAAAAAGATGCAGTAGAATTTTCTGAAGAATCATCCTCCAGTAGTGCCACATCTGAGGAGCTGAGAAGTTCAGGTCAGCCAGTGTCCTCAGATACCCATAATGCAACAAACAATTCTGCACCAGCTTCTACAATGAGAAATGAGTTGAGTGAAGGAGGGGGAGGTCAAGGAGGAAGCACGTCAAAGAGCAACAAATCTGGAACTTCAGGGAACTCAAAATCTGAGCCAGTTGGCAGTTCCAGTTACTTTTCGGATTCAGATTCTCAAACCGAATCCAAGGACATTAACAATAGCAGAGATAGAAAAACAAAAAATAGAAAAAGGAAAGCGGTTCCAGCAAGTAAAACATTAAATGATGGCTTTTCTGAACCTTCCAGAACACCCCAGAGAAGGAAACGGCCCAAAGTGAATGAAGAGAATGATTCTGAGGAATTGGATTATACAAAGTATAAAAGGGTAAATCGACGTTCCAAAATCAGAACTAGAAATGGGGGTAGGAGAACTGTAAGATATGCAGATGATGAAGATGATTGTGAAATGTAACTTTGAGAGGAAGATCTAGCCCACTTTCCTTTGATTAGTGATATTAGGGTAATATGCTGGGTCTTCTTTTCCTACAATTCAGGGAATATATTTATATTTTTCTATGAAAAAGTAAAATATGGAAACTCTCCTTTTCATGAGACTTGCACTTGCCTGCCATTATAGCTGCATTTAGCACATATGCCAAAATGTGCCTCATTGTAGGGGCAAATGTATGTTTAATGGTATTTTGCTAAATATAGTAAGTGGGGAGGTGAATAAAACATTAGATGACAGCTTAAAAGCTGTATGCTTGAATAGTATTATGGTGCTGCAAAGAGACACTACCTATGTTGTACTATATATTGGTGTGTTCCAAGAAGAGATAAATATGAGAAATGGTTACGTTTTCATATATCAGTAACAGACCAATATCTAACATTGTATATTGTTAACAACTCAAAAATGGTTACTGATTTTAAAGAAAAAATATGGGGTACATGTTACCAAATCATGTAACAATGTCTTAAAATGAGCGGTGCTACAAATTCGAGAAACAGCTTGAACTCATTGGTAATAAAGAAATTACTAATTTTATAAATATGTGGATACAAAATTTTGCTGTCATATATAACCTTTTAATATGTGGCTTCCATGTTGTAAATCTGAGACCATTAGAATACAGGTGATTCCTTATGCCTAAGATTTCTTTTTTCTTTTTGTGGACATTTGTTCTAAACAAAAATTAGTAAATTTGTGCTTTGTGATTAAAAAACTTTAATGCTCAGAGTGCTAGTATTTAAGGTGATCTGCTAAAGTTCAATGCCTGATTCTTTAAGATTTAATTATTTATAACTTAGTTTTTTGGTGCACTTAAACCACCCCACCTCCTAATTTGTCAAAGCACCTTCTTGTTGGTGGTATTTAGGCTGGCACTGTTGGAAAAAAGTAATTGTTATCTTCATTATTTCATCTGAAGAATGAGATACACATGGTATTGTATAACTGTAATATCATCAATTTCCTTTAAAAATACCATTCCACCCTGATTTACCTTTTCTGGGAGAACATGGTTTTTAGACCATCTCTACTTCTTCGAATTACATTTCTGTTATACTTTGCCCCATTTGTTCTATTTATACTTCATGTTGAATGTTCACATAAGTCATTTAATTTATCTCTGTGGGGCTCCTGAAATTTTATTTTGAGTACTGTTCATTCACTGTTATACGCGTGATAAAACAAAATGGAACAAAAACCCCTGAAGTCTTCTAGAACATTGGTTTTGTCTTCCAGTTTTTGATTTCTCAAGGTAACCCACCTCCTCCCTATAACATGGCTTATCTTTTAATAAAGAATGCTAGTGATCAAAGTTCTTTATTTTTGTATGTTAAGTAAGAAAATGTGCTTGTTATGGATAAAAATTGCACATTTATGTATTTAAAATGAAGATTAATTCAATTAGATTTGTTTGTTTAGGAGCTTTGGAAGTGTAATTTTTTCTGAAGTAAACACTGGTGAAATGATAAAGGGAAACCTTCAAGCCCTGTAATCAGTCTGTAGTGCACTGCTGTGTAAAATGGACTTTTACTTGTAACTTGGAACATAGTTTCATACAAAACGTATTTCAACTACTTAGAATGGAAGCTGAATTTGTTCAGTGCTATACAATGAGTGGAATGTTCTCAAATAAAAAGGGGAAAGTGGATATCAGAATTGTAGTGGCAGCTGCAGCTTACCTCAAATATTCAGTAAAAGTGCTTGCTCGTTCTGGCCTTTCTGTATGTGCTTCTCCATGCTATATAACCTCATACCTCTCTGTCAACTGATAAGCCTTTAAGAGCTTCTAGTGTGGAGGGTGCCCTAGTTTGACAGGCCATCTGTGGAGAAACATTTTAATCTTTTTTAAAGACCACTTGTATTATGCCACCAACTAGCATTGGAAGAAATGCCTTTCAGGTGTCAATATATGCAGATATGTTGGCCAGTGCCTTGAACTGCCAAAACAAACTATGGAAGCTTCTGTTGTTTTCTGTACAAGTCTGTTTTCAAAAGTATGCTATTAAGAGAGAAGACAGTTATCTAAGTCACTTCTCTTAATCTGCCATGTGGACAACAACAATTCTTGAATCCTAGGGTAGGTTTCACCAGCTTGTACTTTCAGTGCTTTTCTTTTTTGCTTCAGTCTAATCTTTGGTAAAGGAAAAAATTGGGAAGATAACTTCCAGAAAAAAAATACACAAACCTGGTATATGAAGGAAAAGACCATTAAAAGTAACTTGCATATTAAATGTGGTGTTCAACATAGATTGCAATCCTGAAAATGAATCCTGCACTGAGTGAAAGCCTATGGGATAGTTATACGTAAATTAATCAAATATTCCCTAGTGCCTTTGAGAAAATTTGTATTTTCCTTCCAGTGCTTAGTTTTTAAGGGTATTTCAGACAAGTCCTAAACATACTTGCATGAAATACAACTTGCTTCCTAGCAAAAACCGATTGAATTGAGCTTCAAATTTCCCTGGTATTCTGTTTTAAGTACCAACAGTTGCATGATGAAATGTGTATCCCAATTGCTTTCTAGTGCAAAGGATGAAACCGATGAGACCAGAAAGCAAGACCTATAATGCTGGATGAACTTTAAAATATTTGTGTTTTGTTGTGGAAGACAAACGTTCATTCAAAATTGGACACGGGTATTGCAAATTGATTTCAACAATGGCAAAATCTTTTTTTCTCATTGAGAATTTCATAAGTGGTTCTCACTTTGCTTGTCTAGCCCTAGGGATTTGTATTTGAATCCCTTGAATTCAGATCTAAGCAAGTTTTGAGGTAAACTAACATTCTGAATTTAATTGGAGTAGCAGAGTAAATTTCAGAAGAGTATTAACCATCATAAAATCTAAACTATAATCTTGAGCACACTTTACTAGATAGTAAGTTTCACCCAGCTGGTTATCCAAAACTCCAGTTGAGTTGCTTATTTTGCTTATAAGCTTCACCATTTTTCCTAAAAGGAAGCTGAGGTGGCTTGTATTATACGTTATCGTTTATTCTCACAATCACCCTGTGGGTGGGCTAGGCTAAGAGATAGTGACTGGCCCAAAGTCACCTAGAGTGCTTCATAGCCAATTGGGGTCCAGCATTCCAGTCTTTGTGGCAGTGCAATATTCTAATCACTGTTACACTAGCTCTCATTTTAAAATACTACATAAATATATGTCTCTGATCAGTCTAATTAAATATTCTTGAAGTGTACATCATTGCTTATGTATATTAAATATTTCCCAACCACCCATTATGCAGTTAGAACACAGATCTGTGGCTTCAGCCAAAAGGCTACTATTAACAGTCCTGTTGAATATTCATGGCTTTTATCAAGGTCCTTGTTTATAGTCTTGCAATCTTGCTTCTAAACTTTTTAGCTGGCTCCAGTACAAAGCTCAGGCAGTCTCGTGCACATCATACCACTGCCTTGTTAGTCGCGAAGTCATGTCCGACCCATTGCGACCCCATGGACAACATTTCTCCAGGCCTTCCTGTCCTCCACCATCCCCCAGAGTCCACCTAATCTCATGCCGACTGCTTCAGTGACTCCATCTAGCCATCTCAACTTCTGCCGTCCCCTTCTTCTTTTGCCATCTATTGTTCCCAGCATTATTCCATGTAAATCTACTATTTCCCTTGAAACTTACTAGCTGCCATTGAGATAGAAATCTCTGGTTGACTTGAGCAACATTTCACATAAAAGTAAATTTCCCATTAATAGTTGGATAAAACAGTTTGTGTGTAGCAGCTTTCATTAATCCGGTACCCTTTGGATTTTTTTTTTTTTTTTTTTTTTTTTTGGCTATAAATCCCAACAGCATCTGATTGTTGCTGAGAGTTCTAATTCTCCAGATCCAAAGGTTGATACATAGATCATGTTTTGTGTTTCTCATCAGTATTAATAAGCATTTGCTGATGATCTACTCCAAGGCGGAGTCAAAGGATCTCAGATGCTTCACACTTTAGCTTACAGCCACCTTCAACACTGACTCAGCTGCCAGAGGTTTCTGGAAGTTGATATCCAAGACATCAGGAGATCTACTTTCTGTTCGTTCCTGCCCTACTCTATCCAGGCAACCATAATTCATTGGTTGGTTTAAATCTTTGGTAACCATGGCTTTACTTCAATGTTTTGTCATGGCCTACACTTTTTGCTTTGTAGTCTCTTGTTCTTCATACATACAGGTTCTGTTCTTGCATGGGGCCTGCTGTCAGGAAGATTTTCCTACCTAAGTTCGTCCTGGTGGGACCCCTGCTCCTTCCTTCCCCTGGTATATATAGAAGACTCCTGCCATTTTCCCCTGTTCTTTTCTGATGGCCATTTTGATGCCTTGGGTTCTTTCCTTGCATTTTCTTATCTCACAATTGCCTTCTAAAATCTTCTACTGATCTCTTTATAATTTCCTATCCATTTGGTCCTTCATTCCACCATTACTCATTTTCTTACAGTCAAGGTGGTTCTGCAGCCTGACCAGACATTCCTTCCAAATATCACTTGAACCATGACATTATTTTGCCAGCATTCTTCCTGACTCAAACTCGAGGTTGCGTACCCTAGATGATCACAGAGCATTGGCATTCCATCTGTCTTGTACCAAATCCTTCTGCCAGTCCCATCATCCCTCAACGGCCACACAATGAGTCAAGACCATCAAAGTGCCCTACCAACTGTCCAGACTGCAGCTTCCTGAGTGACCAAGGGTGCATTCTACCAGGGCAATGGCATCGTCTACAGTGCTGCATGCTGGCATCTCTCTGCAGCTTTTCTGCAGAGCAGCATCGTGGTCCACTTCAACCTTCATCCAGCACTGCTAGTTTGTCTACACCAGGTAGTATTACTCTTTTTGACTGAGCTGTGCTTTTGCCAGTCCTTCACTGATGACACC